TTTCTTACGGCCTCTGCCCAACACCACAGCCTTGATTCTGGGTGCTTTGGAAAAGGCTGAGGGCAGGGCAGGCACTTCCCCGGGGGGGCCGCAATTTTTCCATTGTAGCAGGGATTTTTCAGACGCTTTGGGGACATCACTGTTACCCTTCAAAGGTGAAACGTCTTCTTTCCCTTGGCTTTTTAATCTCAGCAGACAAATAACAGCTGCCATTTCTCTGGTGCCTGTGTTTACCAAAACATGTCCGTCAGTAGTCAAACACACATGGCGATTATGGAGCAAAGGAGCAGCCAGCTCTCATGGAAAACCATCTGGAACTACAACACAGTGAGTGGCAGGGATGGGGCTTGTTCACCGTGTTTACAGGGAGTCTGGGTCCTGCTAGAGCTGGACCAGGGACAGGGCATGTTCCTGTATTTTGATCGTACTGATTCCGTGACTATGGGTTGAAACTCTCAACATTTCTTACTCTTGTCTGATTCTATCCCATCTTTTTAAGTGGAAAGCCATACTGCGTGTGCTCAATAACCTTTGTTTTGCAGGGCATCATTGCAACCAAAGTGGTGCAAGAGAGAACATGCTACATTTCCACCATGAACAGAAATGCCATGCCCAGCTTTGATGCTCTTGTCATATACGCTTCAGAGAACAGGGTAAGATTCAAATTCAGCAGTTACTCAGAATATTGTTCTGTATTTGAATATCCTTTTTTTTTACCTGAAACACTGCTGTTTTCAAAACCGTCTTAACCAACTGGTAAATTAAAAGCCATTTTAACGGCTATTTTCATGGATATTTTCTCTGATATTTTTGAGGTACATATTTTGAAAGCTTTCAAAAATTACAATATCCTCGTTTTGATGCCTTTAATGCAGATTCACCGTGTTGAGTCTAACTCTCAGATTAGTTAGATTATTGTGACAATAATTTAAATCATTATTTCAATTGACTTTTTATACTACCTTAGTAATCAAGACTTTAGATTCCTTGCTAAATGTGTTTCATAAAGTCTCATTCTCAATGTCTAGAAAAAATCTTTTTCTTCAGAAGGTCTAACTGAGGAAGAACAAATATTTCAATTTTATAGAAAAAAATATTTTAGTAAGCTTTCAAACTTTTTGAAGAGGACTATCTGCCTCATTTCTTTAGTTCAGCCATTCACATTAGCACAGACATTGTAAAAATGATCTCAGCATTCAGCATATTCACCTTTCATAAACTGGCTTCCCTTGAAATCTGAAAACTGTGTATGTAAAAAACTGATACTTTTAACAGCAGGAAGACCTGCAGGGTAGACAGAAATCAGGAGGAGACTTCTCCTGCCAGCCAACAGGCCGAGTGCCTCTGAGGGGCCAGGGCAAGGACTCAACAAATGCTTTGGAAGGAGCTCTGGCTCCACAGAGCGGCAGCACTCCTCATCTCCTTTTCAGCGCTTTCCTTGCACTGCCACTTCCCCTCAGGCTCCCTGCACCTTGACTCTATTAGAACCATCTGCCTTTGGAGCTGCCTTCAAGGTTTGCGAGTGGTCCCATGGGACTCCAGGGGAATAAAAGGCATCCCTAAAGGCAACTGGGACTCAAACACCCAGCCCCGAGTCATCATTCCAGAGGAACAGGCCTAGCAGGAACCCGATCCCAGCACTGATCTTGCTGAATGCTGCTCTCTGTTGTTTAGAACCAGATCGGTTTTGGAAGACCTACCAAGAAGATCACCTTTGTCGCCAATGGATTGGTCAACAACCTCAGCTCTTACGGATCAGATGTCTTCTCTATGTGCAGTGGGCTCACCACCTACATGGCTTACGAAGTTCACGGTGAGTGCAAGCAAAGCAATTCTGTCTCTTAAGTGACCTGGCACTTGTTTCCCTTGGGAAATGACTAAGGCACAATGGCTGCTCTTCCACCTTGAGACTGACAAGAAGTAAGCAACAAACATGCATCTTTACAGCAGAGCAGCCCAGGTTATGGAGATGTGTGAGAGAAATCTGCTGAGTTGCTGTCAGTTTCTTAATCATAGAAGTTCTTGTATTGAGGTCAAAACCAATATTCTTTTCAAGCACATTCTAATAATTCTTTTACTCTGATGAGTTAATCCTGAAGCATCATCAAAATCTTCTGAGCCTTTCTGCAAGCTGATTGTTTCCAACCTTCTTTTGGGAAACACTCTATGGCTCAGGCTCCAGCTGTTGCATTCTGGCTTAGCAGTAGTTCCACATACTCACTGCTTGCTTTGCTTGAAGCTTACTTTGGCAGCTGAAAGGGCTCAATGTGATTGAAAAGGCAAGTGACATGTGCCAGGTATTAAGGGCTGTCATTGAATGGTCAGAACACTTAACTGCATCTTAGCCAGTGCTTCTTTTTATTCCTTTTTTTTTTTTTTTTTATGTTGTTTGTATAGGACCCCAGCAGAATCAGGGATCATGTATCTCACTTGATGTCCTCAAACTTGTGGACCTGAATTATTGTGGTGGCAGTATCAAGGCCTGAAAACCTTATCTTTCTTCAGACAAGTACAGAGGCTCTGAGCTGCTGCCCAAGGCAAACCCTGATGCCATTCTTCCCTTACATCTCCTTTTAGAGATGTTCTTGGGGATTTAGATGCTGACACAGAACAACTGGTGACCACATCTTTCAAATAAATTCCTTCATTATGGATTAAATCCAACTTGTTTGTCGTTACTCTACCCTTTTTCATCGAAGAACCCCTTCACAAAAATACTTTATTCCTCTCTTCTGCCCCATTTGAGCCCTTCAACTGTTCTTTTCATTGACAGCTCTCAACACAGGGCAGAGCCAGAGAGCTGGGCAAGCCCCAGGCTGTGTATGGTACAAACAAGGCATTCACAGTTAGGACCTTCCTACCCTGTTTGGGGAAAGATGCCTCACATTAAGAATCTTGATTCGTGAGGCACAAAAAGTAGAAAGAAAGAAGGGCAAAGCAGTGAATTTGCCTTCTTTAGGGGAAGGGGAGTCTCCTCTGTGGGATTTGCAGAGTTTTTCTCTCTCTGTGGGAGAGAAATCTCTGTGGGATTCCTGTTGCTCAAAACTTTAAAATCAAGGTTGAGAATTTCCTCTTCTTTAACAAAAATGGCAGGATGCCCCAAGTTATCCAGGTGAATACAAATCTGTCTTTAGTATCAACACCAGCTATGCAACATCCCTCAGTTTCTCAGTTTCAGCCCTTAGTCCACAATCAGGCGCTGTTCTCCTGAAGAGGCTCTGAGAAGATTCAGGGCCATGTCTGACAAGCAGAAAGCAGATCCTGAATGAGCTTGGAAAGGAAGGTCAGCAAAAGAACTCAGCAATTCCTATGATTTAGAACCAGCCTCATCACTTAACATTTTTAACACAGCAAGATTACCACCCCCTTGGTTTGAATGGTGCTTTTGGTTAGAGGCACAACCAGGCTGAGTCCTTTACCACGTTGGCACAAAGCATCAATCACTACAAGTTTACTGGGAATCTGTGCTCTGCTTCTGATGAACTGTGTTTTCTAGTTAAAAATGCCTGTTAAACACATTGAGCTTACCATGACCAGTTTTCTCTCCCTTCCCTGTATGCAGTGAATTCAATCAGGCAGGTATCAAAGCCTCCTCTTATCAGAGCACTTCTCCAGGAAACTCGTCATGCTTCTGTGAACACAGGGCACCTGCCAATAAGGTAAACCCATTTTCAGATTTAACTTCGGGATATTATGTATAAAAAGTAAGAGTACACATCAATTAGCAGCAGAGCTGGCCTGGCCTACCATCCAAATGAAGTTCCCTGTAAGTATTCCTATCACTTTCTCATAAAACTCTTAAGGCTGGGCAGCTTTTAAATGGTTTTGAGCTTTTCATGACACTGAGTAAACTCTTAGTGATTTTTGCAGGGCTCAAAAACTGAAAATGCCAAAGGAGTGGGGACTGCAGGGGAGAAATCTCCCTTTTGGCAGGGATGGAACTCCACATTCCTACTCAAATGTAAAAGAGAGAAGTACTCTGTTCCAGGGGCGACGCACACTCGTGAGAAGCCACAGGACAAAATTCTCTCCTTCACGACTCAGAGGCAAATCAACAGTCTCAGCAAGTCACATAAAGTTAGGGCTCAGATATTTGCTGAGAGTGTGACACATGAGAGACCCCATGTGCACTCAGATCCTTCTCACCAAAATCCTTTAATATGAAAGTTTGGACCAATATCCAAATTGTTCAAGGGAATGTCTCCAAAATAAAAATTTCTCACAACAGTTAACAAAATGAATTTATCATCATAACAAATAATTCTCCTGCATATTTAAATCCTTTTCAGCTGGATCCCACTGCAGAAAATGCTGAGCCTGTACACACAGTAAACTGGAAGTCAGAATCATTTCAAGACAGAAAATAACTTGATGCACGATAAGCAGTCACAATGTTCAAATGTTGTGAATTTCAAATGCTGCTTTCAGATTGTGATTGCTTCTCTTCTTGGCAGTTTTCTGGCTCCTGCTGTAGCTAACAGGGTATTGTGGTTTCAGTCACTGAAACAATCACCGTAACAGGTATTGGCAAAAACAGGTTTCAATATGAGTTTGTGAAAGTACAAGTTAACAGAATTCAATAGCAAGGGTTAGTCTATTGTGTACTGCATAGATGAAACCTGCAAAGGAAAATCAAATTAAAGTCACTTTAAAATGGCACACACTGAGTCCCGGGGTGTAAAGGGTGAGGGTGCAAAGGGTTTAAGAGTATTTAATCACTGACTCATTTACAAGGTGATCCAATAGTGTTACTACAATTACAACAAAGACTGAAATATAGATTCAAGATAGCAACATTTATACCCTTATCCCTCCTCATGCACACACACAAAGGCCCAGAGCTATCTATATCTATATCTATATCTATGTGTGCAAAAGTACCTATTAAAAATTCCCCTCGAGTTCACTGAAACAGGTCAAATGCCTTTGCATTTCTCAGTGGGTGAGGGCTGTGTCTCAAGGAGTGGGGGATACCAGCCCAGTCTTCAGAGAGTCTTTTGATTTTTGCAAGCCTGAGGCTTTGCAAGCTCCAGAAGACATCCCACTCCACGGGAGATGTTTGTGGAGCCCACTGCAGTCCAGGGCAGCTCAAAGGGTGCCCTTAACTCTGCTGAGGAGATGATTGTCCTTAGTCTCCAGGAGATTTCCGCCCTGGCCTATCCCAAGGTGGTAACAATGGTTCTGTTCCACTCAGGCTATGATTCAGGTAGGTAATGTTCCAAGGCTATCAGGGGATGAGTGATGATCCCTTGTTCCCTGCCTGGGTCAGCTAACCAATATTCCTGATATAATCAGTGTCACTCCCACATTTCCTCTAAGAGTTCCCGGGCTACAGTAATGAAAATCAGCTCGGGGTAAAGCCTCAATGTAAAGTCTGACACAACAGCACTGACAGCTTCCCAGCCTCCTCTCTGAGGCCAGAAATCATCTCCCCTTTAATCTGACCTCCAAGAGCAATAATTCCCCAAAACATGGCTGCTGGAGCTAATGCTTTATTGAGTGAAACATTTCTGGGAATCCACAAAGCTAAACCTGTTGAATCTATTCTAAAAATTGGAACATCAAGAAAAGCTCCAAGGAGCACCGCAATGAAAGTTCACACCACTATGGTACTGGGCTTATGCTTGAGCAGGAGAACACATCATACACAGGCCATTGCTGGAGGAGGCAATAAAACCTATTTATTTTTTTTTACCTACCAGCAGATTCCTACCTCATAATTATCAGACTCCAGCAGTTAAAAATTTCCAAAAGTACAATCCCCATGTTTATCAAGTAGTTACACCAGGAAATAATTTTCAGGGACAAGTGACAGGGAAACAAATGACAAAATAGTTTTATTGCAACATTCAGCCCTTCCACACCTAATTCTGAAAACAAATAAAGGGTGGGAGGCTCACATCATTTATTCTGCCTTCAGCAGCATCAGCTCTGCAGTCAGGATGAATCTCCCTGTGAGTATGCATGCTTTTCTTCCTTCTGAAACTTTGATTCAAACCCATTCCTTTATCCCTCAGAAGGGCTTCTGCACCTCTGGAGCACTAAGGCTTTCTCTGGGGACATTTTGCTGCTCCAGAACGAGCAGCTCAGCCCCTGTTCCCCAGAGGAGCTGAAGAGGTAAGGATTTTTTCATGGCTTGGCTGTACATTATTCAGAAAATGGGAAGCCTAATCCATGTCCATTATTGCCAATGCTTTTGCACAACTGGAGCACTGCACCAGTGGCTCAAGCTCTTCTCTGTAATGCCAGAGCAGAAGAAATGGAAAAGCTTTCTCCTCACTCTTGTAAAATACCTGTGTGTGCCTGCACAGGTCGGAGAAACAACTTGAGATTCAGCTCTTGAAAGAGCAAGTGTGAAATGTGTCTACTTTGCAGCACCCTGGGGTAAAGCAAGGCTGCCTCCCTTTTGGGGCACTGATGCAATCCCAGGATGAAAGCAAGAAAGGACCCAAGGAAGACTCTTGAGCACCAGATTAGGAAAAGGGAAGGATGATTCTCATGACCAGATTTGTCATCCAGAGCTGCAGTTACACTTTCGTATTTGATTTTCATTTCAGATTTTGACTGCAGTCCTTCTGGGACTCGTCCTGACTCCAGCCCTTGCTGATCATGTGAGTACACGGACCAATTTCCACATGGCTGCTCTTTCTGTGTTCCCTGCTTCAGAGCAGGGAACCTTTTGTTTTTCTAAAGCCGGGAGATAATCACTTGAAAGCCTAAGTTTTCTTTTATTTGTTTTCCTAGCATCAAGAGACTGAAGTAAGCAAGAAAATCTCCTTTGGTGGAGGCTACCAACTTATGACCATCAATAGGAAATGGCTCGTGGCAAGCATTGAGCAAAAGACCAACCATGGGTCCTGGAAAACCATCTGGAACTATGACACAGTGAGTGCAGGGAAGGGGCTGGCTCAGAGAGTAGCTCATACATTCAGTAAAAGCTGGTTTGTTACTTTTTTTAATATGTATGAAATTCCAATATTAATTATTAAATTCCAAGTGGTCAATAACTTTATTTTACAGGGCTTTATGGCAACCAGAGTGCTGCCAGAGAAAGCTTGCTACCTTTCCATAATGAACAGAACCGAGATGCCCAGCTTTGATGCACTCCCTCAGCTGGCTGCAGACATCAGGGTAAGATTGAAAAGGAGAAGTTACTTGGAAAGATGTACTTAATGCAAAGTAAACTGATACTTGAGACTTTGCTTATTTCCAAAAACAACAGGTACTTTAAAGACCAGATTCATCACACCATTAATCAATATTTTAATAAATTTTAATGACATTTTACAACAATATAACTTTAAACTTTTGAAAATTGGAATACCCTTGTTCAGATGCTCCCAGTGGAGGGTTTACATGTTTGGCCAATGTTGTAGCTCAGTTAGATTATTCTTAAAACCTTTATAACAGCTAAAGCTATGAAAATGCCTGGAGTTAAACAGATCAGGGCACTGATCTTGCTGAATGCTGTTTTTTGATGTTTAGAACCAGAATCGTCCAAGACCCCCTTCAAAGGAGATCACATTCACCCTCGTCAAGAGAACAATTCGCGACCTTGAATCATATGGACCAGACACCTTCTCTATGTGCAGAGGACTCTCAACTTATGTGGCTTACGAAGTTCACGGTGAGTGCAAGCAAAGCAATTCTGTCTCTTAAGTGACCTGGCACTTGTTTCCCTGGTGGAATGACCAGTGCACAATGGTTGCTCTTCCACCTCGAGTCACACAGACAGCGAGGGCTTCAGCACTTGCACAAAGGGTTCACCGTCTTTGCAGATCCGCACTGGAGCAGGGTGGTGGCACAGCTGCAATAAATGACCCGGTCCAAACCCTTACAGCTTCTCTCCAGGAAGCTTAAGGGGGCTGAAATTTGGGGCTGGAGTTCACATTGTGCTCCCCTGAAATGCCCAGCCAAGAAGAAGGGTCATTCTAAGAACTGCTATCCTTCAGGTCAGAGCTTGCTTCTGAACTTTACCCAGGCAGCCACCAAGCCCTTGTGCATCACAACACTAAGTGAAGAGGCTTTGATCCTTGTAAGTTTTTCCGTGGAGCAACGATCCAATTCCCCAGGGCTGTAATGACCTACACGGGATAGGATTCTATCAGAATGTCAGAGATCATGTGACTGGGCCCATGAACTGGCAGCAGCCTCACTGTGCAATGCCCAGGCATCGGGACTCACAGGAGCCAGTGCAATAGAGCCTCAATTTCTGCACGGGAAATCCCAAAGGGTTTTCAAGAGCACGCCTTTGTGGGCATTCCTTGCTGAGCCACAGAGCTGCTGCTCTATGGGGATTTCCAGAGAATCTGTCCCTTGCACAGTTCAAACAATCCCCGTGCAGCAATTCTTCAGAACCTGGATGGCTCTGAGCAACACCAGCACCCTCCTGTAGAAAGGCAGCCATTGCTACGAGGATGGGCATAAATCAGCTGAGCTGCTGTGAGTGCCTTAATTGTAATTTGATCACTTGCAATACAGTTTCTTGTACTGATGTGAAAAAACATTTCGTTTAAATATATCCGAATAAACTAAGTTTAACTCAGAGGAGTTAATCCTGAAGCACCCTCAAAGTATTCTGAGCCTTCCTGCCAGCTGATTGTCTCCAGCCCTGTCATGGAAAGATGCTTTACAGCTCAGGCTCAGGATCTTACAATCTGGCATGGCAGGAATGCACCTACTCACTGCTTACTTTTCTTGAAGCATCGACTCTGTCACCTGGGAGGGCTCATTGGGATTGAAAATGGGAGTGCAATGTGCCAGGTATTAAGGGCTCACAGTGAATGCACAGAGCACTTAACAGCATCTTAGTCTATGTCTTGTGGTAATTGTTACTCTTTTCTTGTTTTTGAAGGACCACAATTCAGTCTCGGATCATGCATCAAACTTGATGTCCTTCAATATTTGGCCCTCACATACTGCCATAATGATAACTTTGTGTGAATAATACCTTTCTTGAACTTTGTGGGGATGCTCCAGCAGTAGCTCCTGCCCAAAGCCAACCCTGATGGAGTTATTCCCTGTCATGTCTTCTTTCAATTCTTCAGGAGGATTGAGTACTGAAACAGATCAATTGGTGAGCAGAGCTATCAATTAAATTCCTTTATCATGGACTAACTCCAGCCTATTTGTTGTTACTCTACCCTTTTCATCTAAGAACACCTCCACGAAAATATCATGGGCTCCATTTGAGCCCTTTCATGGCTCTTTTCACCTCAGCACAGCCAGAGAGCTGGGCAAGCCCCAGGGTGTGTATGGTACAAACAAGGCCTTCACAGTTAGGGCCTTCCTTCCCTGTTGGGGAAAGATGCCTCACATTAAGAACCTTGATTCAGGGGGCACAAAAGGCAGAAAAAAAAGGAGTGCAAAGCAATGAATTTTCCTTTTTTAGGGGAAAGGGAGTATCCTTTGTGGGATTTACAGAGTTGTTCTGTTCCTAACATAAAGCAAGGCTGTGATTCTTTTTGCTCAAATCTTTATAATCAAGATTGAGTATTTCCTCTTCTCTAACAAAAGCGGCAAGATGCCCTGAGCTGTGCCACTCACCCTCTGCTGTGCTGCCTGACACCATGTTATCATCAATGCCCTGGGAGTGTTGAGAAGCCTCATCACCTTCTGGGGAGGTCTGGATCAGCCTATGGGCAGTCAGTGGAGATGTTTCCACCCCAGGGAGCTCTTGATCCTTTGAAAAATTAGCAGTCCAGGAAAGGAAAAAACCCTCTTGGCCACTGAGTGTCAGCCTCGAGTTGCACAGCTGAGATGAAAAGGCACCGACTCCCATCCAGAGGAGTCTGCTATCCCAGAGCACCAGGAGAGTGCAGTGGTGCCAGTACAGCTGTGCTGAATTACAGCACAGCAGGCACAGCCAGGGACTCTAAGGACATGTCTGCACTGGGCAGGAATTCCGGTGCAGTGATAATTTAATTGTGAGAATAAAACTGGGGAATGTAGGGAGCTTCCACACAGTGCTGTAACAGCTTCCTGAAGTGTCCTGAAAAACATGGAATATGATTTTTAGATCTTGACAAAAGCCATTACCCATCATCCAGGTCAGCCTGGGAGCCAAAGGGAACCACCCTTGGAGTCACCCAGACGTGCTCCCAAACCCAAGGGCACCAGCTGGAGCTTAATCACCCTTTGCACAGCTGTGTGCAGTTCAAACACCTCCTTATTGTCTCTCACACAAAGATTAGAGCACACTGAGCCTTCCCAAGCACTGGTAGGGCTTTCACACACAACCTACAATTTTAATAATGTTTTTGGTTTTGGCATTTTTAGTGTGGGATGAGTGCTGGAACCTGGAAGCCTGGGAGTTTTGAACTTTCTGTGTTTTCTGGTACTGACCCCCAAAAGAACACTGCTTTTGACTTGAGGCCTTGGAGAAGGCTTCCAAATTTGAGTGATATAGTTGGGATCACTGGTGTGTAGTTTGAATAGAATTGTGTAACATCACATGGTGAAGGGCTTGGAATTTGGAGTTTTAGAATATAGTAATAGGTATGAGACAAGATGGAGGTTCTTGGGAGTTGGCTATTCTTCCTTCTTGTTCCTTCCTCTTTGTCTTGGTTTGAAAGGCAGGTGTCTGCCAAGAAAGGCAGAAGCCTCTTTTTAAAATAGAGAATGTAAACCTCCTCCTTCCAAATTATTATAATTTTGAAATTAAGGGAGCTCTCAGGCAAATATATGGGAATAGGTCACTAAGAAAATTACAATAGAAATCCAGTATTAGAGAGAACAAACCCAAAGCACTGGCAGAGTGAGAATCCAAGCTGCCCCCGTCAGTCAGTTAGGGTGTTGGTGCAGTCCCATTCCATGGTGACTGCATCCTCCTGCAGTGACAGATGTGGTTCTGGTCGAGCAGTGCTCCTGCAGAAGATGCAGTTTTCCTCCAGAAGTCCAATGATGATGTGGAAAGATCCATTTTTTTCAGGAATCCAGTGGAAAAAAGGTTGCTCTAGTGTTCCAAATCTCAGGTTTTATCTAGGTAGGAAATGTTTGGCTCCTCCTCCTGGCTGGAGTATCTCCCAATGGGATGATGTAATTTTATCAGTCATTCAGTGGGAGTCCATGGCCCATTAACAGGAGATATCTCCTGGAGGAAAGGTGGGTTGTGGAAAAGATAAAGATGACTGCTCCACCTGATCTTATCAGATGGCTCATTAGTAGATAATATCTCTCACAGAGATAAGGATCACTGCCCCAGCTGATTCCAACAAATGGTGATAGAATACATACTTTTGGTCACATCCTGTATTGCAACCTAAGACACTCTTCTTAGTTTTAGGTAGTAGTTTTTGGTTGGATAGAAAATTCCAAAGTGCAAGTCACAGGTATTTGGTCATTGGGTCAAAGGTATAAATAATATAGATGTTAGCTTTAATTGACTAGTTAGGCCTTAAAAGACCTTGTAATGAGCAAGATCCAGCTCCATTTTGTCATTTTTAGCTTGTTAGCTAGAAGTGCTGTAGCACTCACTATACTATAGGTAGGAATTAATAAACAACTGAGCCCAAACATGAAAATCCTGTCTCTAGTGCTTCAATCCTGACTCTGACTGAAGGCAGAGGAAAAAAGAAGCTAACCACTAATAGAGGGGGAGGGCAGACAAATTCTAATACCCTTCCTGTGTCCCACATGAGCTTGAGTGTTGATCCTGCTCTTACCAGATCATAAACAAAAACACACACTCTTAAGGCAGGCATATGAAGAGGATTAGTCCTCAAGAAATTCAGAATTTCAGGATAAAGCTTGTTCCATTTTGTCAGCAGCTCCCTCTGTCTCAGAGTACTCACAGCTTCATCTGATCCTTCATTCCTTGGCATTTCCCCAGGCTTTCCCAGGCCTTGTGTCAGTCTGACTCCGCAGCTACACAAAGAATCTGATCTCCTCCTCCAGCTTTTGTTAAGGATGTTTTAAAGACAAATTGAATGCTTTAGGCAGTGCAGGGCAGCTGGAAAGTCTGACTCAGGTGCATTGCACTCCCTGAAACCCCTGCTGAGGCTGCTCCACTCTCCAGGTGTTGGCACTTAGGAGTTTGGGTTTGCTGGTGTGGCCTGAGGGTCTGAGAGGGAAGTTTGGGAGCTCCTGGTACCTCGAGTTTAGCTTTTACTGGTACGGGGGCTCCCCCACTGGGGAATGGTGTTCCTTTTGAGCTGTCCTGCTCTGCTTTTAGAGTCTGTGGTGCTGTTTGTGGAAGGAGCTAAGAGAAGTGAGTGTAGATGAATTTACATTTCCCACTGAGTTTCCTAGGAAGAGGGAGAGTTTAAGCTTTAGAGGTTGAACTGAGTGGTGAGTTGGGGCAGACTTTCATAAGCACAGGCACTGCTGAGTACTCTTCAGGAGTGGGAAAATGCAAGGCAAGAAGCCTGGCATGGCTTTTCATTGCTGTGAAGCTGCCCCAGGTTTTTAAAGGTCTTTAAACTCAGATGTTGCCTGTGTGGGAAGCAAAGGTGTCTCTGCACATTTCTGTCCGTGTGGGAAACAAAGATGTAAGTGACAGGACAAGGGGGAACAGCCTTAAGATGAAGGAGAGCAGGGTTAGATGGGATATTGGGCAGAAATTCTTCCCTGTGAAGGTGGTAAGGGGCTGGGATGGAATTCCCAGAGCAGCTGTGGCTGCCCCTGGATCCCTGGAAGTGCCCCAGAGCAGGGGTGGGATGAGCTTTAGGTCCATCCTAGGCTGTGATTCCGTGCCCAGAGCTGGGTCAGCTTCTGTCCCAGACCTGGGGCTACTGTTCATGTGCTCCGTGCACAAATCTGCTGCAAACCACACTTCGCTCGAGTTCTGGCCACGAGATGGCATTCTCTGAGCTTCTTTTGCTGAGAGCTTGCCATCTTTAATAATAACAATAATAATTAAGGGGGGGGGGGGGAAGCCACAAACCCTCCCTGTATTTTCTGAAGTCTGTGACAAAGCAAGATTTGTGAGGAGGCTGCTCTTGCTCTTGCCAAACAATGGTGCTGCTTTCTGAGAGCTGCGAGGGAGACTGAGGGTCAAGTCCCTTTAAAAAAAAAAAAAGTGAAATACAGTATTGTGCATCTTGAAATCTGAAACCAAGAAACAGAAGTGCAAGGGAAACAAGGGGGAAAGTCTTCCAATTCCTGTGGACAACTGTTGCAAGTGGAGTTTTAAGGAATACAATATAGATCTATATCTTTTAAAGGTCATTGAATGGCTTTTGTGGAGAAACCTGTGAAATAAAGGAGCCTTGGAAGAAGAGATTTCTTTTTCTTCTCCTCTCTGGATATAATGGCCATTGCAAATCAAAGCATCTTGAGATTTGGCTTCAAGTGTGTCTTCCTAGCAATTTTTACACTCACCTGTGATGGACACGGTGGAAAGAGAGAGAATGGTGGTCCTGCCTGCTACGGAGGATTTGATTTGTATTTCATTCTGGACAAGTAAGTCAGTCCTACTTTGTTCTTTTTCAGAGTTCCTTTGCTAGGCATGAACTGGAATGGCACACGCTGATACCCAGGAGGTTTTCTTTGGATTTGGGTTTTGTAAAAGTCACTATGTCCCCGAGGGATCTCTGCAACTCCTGACTGCTTGCTTTGTTATTGTTGTGGTAACTTCTTTGGTAGGTCCAGTGCATAAATCCCACTGTGCTCTGTAATCACATCATTGTAAGGTTTCCCAATAGGGGAGCTTTGTGTGTACTCAAACTCGAGTGTGCACTCGAGTTTCTTAGAGCCGTGGCTGGGAGCAGAGCAGCACCCTGGTCCCCTCTGGTTTCCCCATGAGCCGGGGAGGTTGAGACTCTCACGAGAGCAGAATTATTCCTGCAGGCACCGATTCCACGGCTGAGAACGTGCGGGGAGCGCTGCCCACAGCTCTGCTCGTGCCCCTCTGCCCCCTCAGCTGTGCCCAAAGCAGCAATGCCAGGTAAAAACCAGCCCAGAGAGGGGCTACTCCCTTCGGAAGGGGCTGAATTCAGCTGCTGGGATGGAAAACAGCTCGAGTGCCTCATTTGAAGAGCTCTATTTTCCCTAGCTGAGTCACACTTTCTTTGTTTCTTCTGTTAATCAAAAGCATATTTTGACTAGCTGTTTGTGCTGAAGATAACTTCCTAGCTCGCTTTTTCATCACTAATTGTGGCAGTGTCATCTCCTTGGCACTGTAAGAGTCCTGCTTTTTTCAGATGTGGATGGAGCAATGTGGAATCATTTTGTGCTGAGCTTTGGAAAGCTTCATACTAAACCAATGCAACAATTTAAAAAAAACAAAACCAAACTTAAAAAATACTGGCTGAAATGATTGTCCTGATTTCCTTGATCAAGAGTAGTTATTTTGAACCAAAGGCTTGGAAATACTGGAGGTGATGCCTGCCAGAGCCATGGCACTGACATTAATAACCATAAATTTCAGAGACAGGAAAGTATTTGCAAGTTGCCAAAAGTGCTCACAGATTAAGTTTCTGACTGATCCTCTGGAGTGTTTTGCAGTAGCTCCCACATTCCATTAGAATAAATGACTTGGAATTACATAACCCTTTATTACAAAATACTGGGTAAAATCTATGACTGAGACACTGGCTGCTACAGTGTGCCAGTTGTCCTGATGCTCCTGGGGTAAGATTTCTTTATTTTATTCAGTGGAAAGATCTACCTGGTTTATTAATTTTGCTGATCTTCCGTTATTAGTTGGAATAACTCTATTGCTCCAAGCAGAAAAACCCCAAACAAACCTCAAGCATTTGATTTGTACTGCAGAGAGCTGCATTTCCCTGGAAGCTGAAGCAGGCTTGAAGGTTTTCTCAAATGTCATGCATGTGCTGTGTTACACCTCTGAGCCTTTGTAACTTCAGCAGGCCCTTAATTCAAGTTCTGTGCTGTTCCCTCACTAAAATCCATGACTTCTGAGCTTCGCTCATGGGATTATGGATTTGGGTGGAAACACAAGCCTTGGCACAAGCTTTAAAGCAGGCAGGCCGGCCCCAGTGTATATATCAAGGTATCCAACAAAAATCCTGCTTTGACAGCTGCAGAATTCCTATTCCTGGGGGTTTTTTTTCTGGTGCAGAAATGAACAGGATCTGATGTAAAAACTTCCTTGGTCTCCAGTAGAATTTTGGAGGAGCATTGTGGCTTTTCAGCTGTTGCTGAGTACAATGCATCAAAGGACCTGGTTGTTTAACCTCTGATGAGAGATTTACTGTGGTGGAGTTGGTTACCACATATCCTTTAACACTTTCATGGAATCACAGAATGGGTTGGGTAGGGAGAAGATCATCTGGTTCCACCCTGTGCCATGGGTGAGGAACCTTCCACAGACCATGCCTCTTGTCCTTTGATTGCAGAATCTCAAGCTGTGTCTATTTTCTCAATTTAGTGTCAAACTGTATGCTCTTTGGGGCAGCTTTCTGTTATTTAGAGTAGCAATTGCTGTTTGGAGTTGCACTTGCTCTTTAGAGCTGTTTGCTGTTTAGGGTTCCCTTGTGTGCTCTTTGCTGTTTGGGTTCTGTGCAGATGCTGAGCACCTCAGGGTGGAGGTCACACGAAGATAAGCCCAGTGTTGTGGAAGGTAGGCCTGGCTTACTTTGGGAAAGCTGGTCCAAGCTGGCCTCTCCTTTTGTGTTGCTGAGAGGATTCCTGGATTCAGGCTCCACACACAGGAGTTGGTGCCAAGGAATTAACAGGCTGGTGCAAATTAAGATACAGGGCCTTCACTAAGACTGAAGTTCTTCACTAAGAACGAAGCAGTGAGATGTTGCTAAAAAGCTCAAATGTTTGTCTTTGATGAAAAATTGTCCAGTTATTCTAAAAATATTCTCCATGTGATTAATTGTTGTGACCACCCCAAACTGACACGGTGCACAGCCTCAGCAGTGAGCAAACATCCCCTCTCCCAGCACAGCTGGAACATCTGGGGGCAGCTCCCAAACTAATTTATTTGCAGGTGGGGAGGAAGGAATAACCCCTAAGTCTTCTCAGCAGCTTTTTGCTGTAGTCTCTGTGTGTCACAGGGATTATTCCTGTGGTGTGCAGATAATGGGGGATGCCTGCCCACATGCAGAAAGCACACAGGGAACTGTAAATGTGTGAAAAGAATGGTTCTGGGAGATCCTTGGCAGAATGAAACAAGGACTCCAAGCTCTGGATCCCTTCCTTACCCTGCCAGACAAAGGATCTGTTTGTAACCAGTTGCATTGAAGGGAAGCTACTGCTCTGGAAAGGCTGATGTTGGTTTCTTTGAGTGGAGCTTGAGTAGCTGCAGTTACCGTGATTTAAGCAGGATTTCAGTCCAGGTTTGTACTCAGAGTGTGGAAGGCACACAGACACGATGGGATGGGAGCAGGCAGAGCCCAGGCAGGAGCCTGAGCCTCAGGATCTGCTCCTTGCCCTGGGAAAGTGAGTCCTGGAGCAGAGCTCACCACACCACTCAGAGCTGCAGATTGTTCCAGCTGCTCTCAGAGGAACAAACACAGCCTGAGGTAGGGAATGGTGACACTGAGGGTCTGCAGAAATAGATTCAAAACTATCTCTGCTCCTCATTGACCCAGGGACTGATTCCTTGGGTTTTTTCCAGTTCACAGGCCTGCATGCAGAGCAAGGTGTACATTTTGTTGGGATGGCAAGACCTTGCAAGCATGTGGAGGGATGACTTTTCTCTGTATTAGTGTGAGGGCTGAGGGATGCCAGCAAGGCAGGGTAGAGAAATTTGAGCATTTTTGTGTCTTTTTTTGCTTGCTGCCTGAAGGAACGTAATTAACTCCCAGTTCTGCCAATGGCAGGCATTTGCAGTGAGCTGAGCTCATGTGTGAAATCCTTGCCAGTCAGGACCTGTGGATGTGTTTTTTATCCAGGGGTGCATCTTAGATAACCATTCCTTGGTAAAAGGAATAGGCAGGAGCTCCCTTCCAGCCAGGATTGAGTGTGTGCCTTCAGCATTCTGCACTTATCTGCTGACTGATGTAAGTTAAGTCCATGGCTATTTGTTTACTAGTTGTTCTTTTGCATACCCCCTGCCAGCCAGGAGAAGAATGTTCCTGGGCTGAGACTGGGCTTAGAGGCTTGTCCTGCTCTGACCTGAGCCTCTGTGGACCCTGTGACATGCAGTGTCCCCATGAGCTGTCTGGTGTGGCACAAGATAATAGCAGTTCCTCCAAGAATTGCATCATCTCTCAGATGCCTTTGTGCTATGGAGGGCTTGCAGAATTGCTCCTCAAGTGTTGGGAAAGACAAAGGATGCTTTTGTGCTCATTTGTGTTATTTTTCAAGAGCTCAATGAAGAGATGCTGCACAACTTCTTAGGTAAATGCCATCTCTGAGAGCCATGAGACTTCTGGGAGTTAGCCCAAACCCAGGAAAGCTTAAGGAGATTTTTGAATCAACAGCAGCCTTTGAACCAAGTGTCTTTATGTCCTCCTGTCAGCTGCAGGGCACATAAGTCACGTGAGGTCTTGGTATAAGAGTGTGGACTTAGTTCTGTGACTCTTCCAGTCTGCAAAGTGAATAAACCCACGGGCATTCTGAGAAGGTGCAACAGCAGAAATGGAAAAGTGGACTCTCAAAAGTACAAGAAAGACCAAGTCTAGGGAAGTTTGAGCTGCTGCAGCTTTGGGTTCTGGAGCACCTTGTGCCAGTGAGAGGAGGAAGGCACCTGCTGAAGGGCAGGGCTTGGCCAGAGCGTGGCTGGAGCCACAGAGCCCCTGCAGTGTCTCTCTCAACACTTGCATTCCCTTTAGAGGTACAAAATGCCAGTGGGGCTGATCACAGAATGGATCACTCTCCTGTTAAAGAGAATGGTTTACTTAGTTTTAATTTCCATTTATTGGGCCCTTCTCCAGAAAAGATTTTGGCATCCTCGTGGATGAGCTTTTTCTTAAATTGCAACTTTTTAGCATCGACCATTCAGCTGCAAAGCCTTGGCTCTCTGATCATCTTGTTTCTTTTGGGAGTATGAAAAGAGAACTATTTGCTTTTCTTATTGGCTTTTCTTATCTTACAGTTGGACTTTAGAAATACTTGTCCTACTCAGAGTTCTTGGCCTGCCTCACTGTACAAAGGAAGTGTCTTTTACAGCGTGGCTGCTGAATGACACAGCTCAAGGAGGTGGGCACTGTGAGCAAATCCTGGTTTTGTGAGCTTTGTACTGGCTGCAAAGGTTGGTTGTATTGGGTTTGTCTGTTTCAGGCCAAGTGAAGAACATAAGAAGTCTGAGGTGTGTTTCAGAAAATGCATTTTATGTTTGAGGAATGCTTTTTCCCAAGTGCTGACCTGGGCATTTCTGGCCCTTGACAGCAGGGGGAGAAGTGAACTCCAGGCAGACTGAGCTGTCTGCCTCAGGTGGGAATTGCTGTGTGGGAAGGACAATGCGTGGTCAGCCAAAGTGGGAACCTTCATTTTGGACCCCTGTTACAGCTCCCTCTGGCAGAGATGGGAAAAAACTGGGCTGCAGACTATTCCAAAGATCTCACTCCTGAAACTGAGCAGAAACCATCCTCCCTTTGTGGATAGAGTGGGTTTGGTTTAATGTTGCAGTAGTGGTAAGAAGTTTCCTTAAAGGATGTTTTACCTGATGGCTGGGAGGAGGTTGGGCAGGGGCTGCTGGTCCCAGCTCCACCATTTGGTGTCTGCTACCAAATGGGTAAGGAAATGTGGGAATCTTCACTGAGGTGTTTTTTGGGAGGTGAACATATGGTCTAAAGTGACATTTGTTTCACTGAATCAAGGACTAATTGGTTTCTGATTAACAAAGCCTTGGCTCTTCATGTCTTCTGGAGACTGTGACCCTTGCTATAAAGTCAAGTGTTTCTTTCATGCCTCAGCATATAAAGACAATAAACATTTCTTTTCCAGGCCAGTTCTAGGAAATTATTTGGGCTATTTGGCACTGTTGGGACTGAAGTGCCTGTGGAATTCAAGGTCTCAGAGTTATCCCATACATCCAAGGGGAATTTGCACCTGGGGCTGAGCTCTGTGTGTCTGTTTTATCAATTTAGGTTTTGGATGCAGCAGGATTTAAGTTTCCTGTCTGTGAGCAAGTCCTGATGTATGTCACCCTTCATCTCTTATGACACCAATTTTCCCACTGGCTGTGGTTATTTGGTTTATCCAGAGCTTTGCTGTTGGTGTTGCTTTGGTCCTCTTTGATACACATTTGTGTGGAGAAGAAGCTGTTGTGTCATGTCCTGGTCTGAGGAAAGAAAGAAATAATTCAGCACTATGAGCATTTGCTGATGATTCCACCTGCTCTGCCATCTGCCCTGCAGCTGTGCCCCAAGCAGGGTGTCTGTAAGGCCATCCTTAAACTCATCCTAAACTGATGCTTTTGGGGACAAGTCCTTTGTGCAGCAAGATCTGGCAGGGTCACTCTTTTTGCACAGGGCCCGAATGTTTGTGCCTGAGCAAAGGTACTCAGTGCATAGACAGATCAGGGTCACACAGAGAAGGAGCAGCTCCGGGGATTGTGGAGCAGGAGGAAGAGGCCAAGGCTCTTCCTGAGTGTCTGAGAATGAAAAGCAGGTGTGGGGAAAGCGGCAGGAAATGTCTGTGACCCCCGGGACCAGCTCTGCTGCTCCTTGTGCTTCTGGAAGAGAAGCAATGCCCTGAGCAGCAAGGCTGGGGTGGCTGCACCAGGCTGGGAACCTGCTCTGGCTCTCCACTGCCATTCCCAGAGCTGAGGTGGAACAGAAAGCTCATTTGCCTTTTCTTCCTCTGAACTGAAAAACCATCTCAAACGTTCATCTTTTCTTCCTCAGGCTGCAGATCAATGAAGTTTCTGTTGAAGCTGGACTATAAATATTTCTAATTGTACTCAGTGAATTAAACAAGTGATGACACATTTATTTTCCCACTCTAGAAAAGAATTTTTTTCCAATATTAATATTCCAGTGTTCATATAAGTGTTTATGCCAGAAAGGGCATTTTGTGCTGAAAGATTCTGATTAACCTATTTTTTTCCTCGTTCCTAAAACATAAAGAAGAATAATCCAACCCCATTAGAGCCTACGATTTATTTTCCTGAGGAACAAAATTAGTTTGTTTTGTGTTTAACTGAGGTGTGAAAGAATTAATCAGAGCAGTTGAGATGTGGAGTAAGGTATTTTGCTTTTCACAGTCTCTGGCACAGTGGAAACGCTGGAGAAGTTTAATAATCTGTTCCTCCAACTGCATGTAATTCTCAGAATAGGCTTGAGCTAAAAGCTCTGTGTAATGGTTTGGAAGTGAGTGGGTGGAATTGATCTAAAACATTGTACAGAGAAACTGCTCCTCACTCACATACGGTTTATTTGGTTAAGGCTGTATTAAAGTCCAGCCTAACTGCTGTGAGCTACTGCCAAGGGCAGCCTCAAACACTTGCATGGAGTGGGAATTATTCTTGCTTTTGAAAGTTAAGTAGGAAATGTCAATTACAGTTTGATCTCTCTTTAAAGGAAGAGCATGGGCAGTGAGTGTTGAACAAAACAAGAGCAAATTTTTCACTGAGCAGTGTGTGACTGAACAAATGGCTGGGAAAACTTCCACTGATGTGTCCTGTAATCATTGTGTCCCTAGATCAGGAAGTGTCCTGCATCACTGGAATGAGATCTATCATTTTGTGGAGCACTTGGCTCGCAAGTTCATAAGGTAAGGAGGGCTGCAGGTCCCTGGGTGGCATCTGGGGGCGTCAGGGGCTCCCAGTCCCAGCATGTGCTGCTTCCCAGGGGTTATGTGGTGGGCAAAGGGCTCTTGATGCTTTCCTCAGATCTTCCATTGACTGCTCTTCCCCACGTTCGTATTCTGTGGGAAATGGGGGAGATAAAATAATTCCATTTATTCCTGCCTGCCTTTCAGGGATCAGATCTGTGGGGCAGGAATCCTCCTGTCCCTGAGCTGCTGCCTGAAGTACAGGAGTTTGGGGCTGCAGGGAGAGCCTGTGGATGTGGCTTTCAGGCCCTGAATGACCTGAGCCTGGATGAGGAATCCCTCTGGACAGGGGATGGAATGTGTTGTGAAAAACATAAAGAGCCCTCCCTTGTTTCTGTGGTGACACCAGGATGCATTTAAGCCTTTCTTGCTTTAGCAATTCTAAGGTTGTGATAGAAGTGTTCTCTGCATCTTTTACAGGGATTCCCCAAGGTTTCCCTGGATTAAGAAGGCCGAGGGCAAAATACATTTTCATCCTGTTGAGTTGTAACTGGGATGGCAGAGTGTCCTGTGTGATTGTGCTAGACATGGAGCTCTGCTCTGGACCACCAAATTAATTCACTTTTTTTCTCTCCTCCAGCCCTCAGCTGAGGATGTCCTTCATTGTTTTTTCAACCAGAGGGACAATTCTAATGAGGTTAACAGAAGACAGGTAAGAAGAGGTTTAAAACAGCTTCTGTGTCCTTGTAGCTTCCTTCACCTTCCTCAATGGTTTCCATCCCACTGGGAACAGTGTTGTGGCACCTCTGTGCTTCTCAATTTCATTGGTAGAGTCACGTGCCTATTCTCACCTACTAGAATGCACTAAGGCCTCTCAAGGCAGAGGTTCCCTGCTTAATTTCAGCTTCTAAATGTCTTTCTATCAGCTGTCAGGGATTCAGCTCACACTGGTTTTGTTGAGGCAGCCTGCACTCCCCAAAGATTCAGGATTTTGTCAGAGAAGCAGAGACTCAGTGCCTGTGGAACATCCTCTGGGAGTTTCTTCTGCAAACAAATAGGTGAAACTGCCTTCCCATTAAAAACAGGCCTGGAAGCCAGAAGTGACACCCACACTCCTGGGGTAGAGGGGAACGTGATTTCCTTGAAGGTGTGTCACAGACAAAATGTTTGGGATGGATTGCAGGGGTGTGGATTTTTTGGCAATAACAGATTGCCTTGTTTGTGAAGCGTGTTCCTGCCACCCCCTTACAGACCCCCAAGTTAATCCCAGTCAAATCTATGGGATGGATTTTTTTTTTTTTATTTTATTCTGACGTCCAAGGAGAGCTGGATGAGGTCCTTAAATCGCTCTTGCTTCCTCTGTTAACTTCATTGCCACGTGGAGCAAAAATATATGTACCACATGTGTGGAGTGTATAAGTCAGCATGTGTTTTACATATTAGATGTCTGAAATCACATACCAGAGCAGCTGCCATGGGGAGGAAGCTGGCTGCCTTCCTACAGAGCAGTGCACACTCACACCAGCCTTGAAAACGTCCTTAAATCCAGCCAGTCTGAGCATCTCCTGCCACTTCCTGCTGCAAGAGGGATGAAGAGAATGAACCACATTTATTTAACTGGCTGCCAAAGGAAAACCTGTTCCCTGCCTCTTTCTGTGTCCCACCCTAGGAGCAAACCCCACTGCAGGGATCTCCTTTCTGCTCAAGTTCTGAGCTATGAGACTGAGATGTTTCCTGAGTGGGAATGTATTCCATATTTCCCCAGCTGTCCCAGAAATGCTGGCTGGGAGCAGGATATTGTTATGGAGCTGCTCTCAGAGCCAGCTGGCTGCTAGGTTGTACTGGGCACTGGCAGACAAGAGATGTGCTCTGCTGTGGCTCACACTGGCCTGTCTCACCTGGAGAGCTCCCCCCACCTCATCCCTGCCTTTGAGTGGTGTTTCAGCACCTGAATGTGAGGGTTAAGGGTGCTGAGCATTCCTTTTGGGAAAACTTAATCCTTTTGGGAAAACTCAGTGAGTCCAATGGGACTGGACTGACATTTTATTTACTTTTGCTGTGTATTTTAAAATTTCAGTATTAACCTCTGAAAAACAGTTTTGATCACAGGAAATGCTCTATTTTATACCCAGCTTTGGTTTGGTATGTGCATGGGTCCTGAGTGGAGGAACCTTGTTAGTGTCTAGCTGGGATATCACAGGTAAAAAATGGGTTCTTGGAAGTTTGATAATTCAAGAGCAGACAGTCTTTGCTCCTTGGGGAGTCTCTGAGCAGTGTCAGTGCCCTGCTGCCATCAGCCTCACAGTGAGTGTGTGATCACAACAGCTGGCTTTTCTGAAGTGGTTGGAAATTGTAGAGACAGAAATGACTCCTGGCAGGCCCTGCCTGCAGTGACTCCATCCATTTCCCATGGAGATTGTGTAGTTTGCTCTGATACACCCCACACACTGCAGGGTTTTATCTTGTATTAAAGTCTCCAGGCCTGTGCTTGGCTTCCAGAGTTTGATGTCTGCCACTCAGAGGAGCAACAAATCACTGCCCACCTCACAGAGCCTGCAGCTGACCTGTCACTGTGCCTGGCACTCCTGAAAAGAGCTAAAACACGTACCCTGAGTCACAATATGCCATTGGGAAAGGCTTCAGTGTTCCAGTAAGCTTAACCAGGAGCTGAAGATGTAGCTCCACATAAACTGGAGTTGCCAGGATAGTCTGAGTGTCATTTTTGTAGCTGTTTGATGATGTTTGTATACTCAAGTGAGAAAACGTGTTAGGAAAGTGAGCCACGTGCAAGTCAGCTGCTGAGGTTTGAGCAGGGAATATTCATTTAGGAAGAAATGTATGAAATATGTGGCTATTGGCCTCGGGGATGGTGCTGTTGTGATGCTTTCCCCAGGCACTGGGAACACTGGGAGCACAACTCTGTGTTCCACATCCCTGGAGAGGCAGCTATCCTGTGCAAACACTGAGTTAAACACTTTCCCCCCCGCCTCTGTGCCTGGCTCTGCCCTGCACGTCCCCAGCTGGCTGTCAGGACATGCTGGTGCCTTTGCTCCTGGGTCTAACAGTGCCTGCCTTCGTTCCAGGGAGCAGATCCGCCAGGGCCTGGAGGAGCTGCAGAAGGTGCTGCCAGGAGGGGACACGTACATGCACGAAGGATTTGAGAGGGTAACTGGTGCAGGCTCAGTGCTGAGCAGTCTCTGCTCCTCAGGAGCTGTAGGACACAGGGGCTGGTTGAGAACTCTGATGGGGGAGTGGGACCCTGTCCCTTTGCTGCAGCGAGTAAGGGCTCAGTGCTGGAGCTGCAAACTCTACTAATTTTCTTTATTTCTGCCTTCAGCTTTTCTGGGCAGAGCTGCCTTTTCTGCCTGCAAGAAGGCAGTGGCATCGAGTCCCCTGTGGCTGTGTGTCCAGGAAGGGTGGGAAGCTGTCCGTCCTACCTGGGCTGACTGGGGTGGCCAAATAACTGCAGACCTTACTGCCTGCTCTGACCTTCTCCTTCTGGGCGTATTTTTTACATATTTTACAAGCTCGGGAGTTTCTCTAAACCTGAACTCCTGCACTCCCTCCCTCCCTCCTCTGTGCTTCATGGGTATTTGGGAGGGGCTTGAACTGTCTGCCTATTGAAAGGACTGCCCCATCACTGAAAAGTGAACACAGCAGAAACTGAGGTGACCTAACAGAGTTGTTGGTTTGTTTGCAGTTGGAATAGTTGATCTGGAGGTGCTGAGGAATATTTAGCATTGGGCCTAGGACGTTTCTCAAGGATGAAAGTGGACAGGATTTTCAGAGAGAACAGTGGGAGACAGCACTGGGGTTGGTTTGGCTGATGAGACCTTGCAGGAATGCATCAAAACCCCAGGCAAGGACCTTGCTCTGTGAATCAGATGTCTAAAAGCAGAGCTCATGTGTGAACTGCCAATGTGACATCCTCACTGCCATCATCCCTCCCTTTCTGCTGCATGAGTAGAAGTTCATAATGTTCTTATTATTGATTTATTATTGATAATCTTCTGCTTTGATTTCAGGCAAGTGAACAGATTTACTACGAAAATGTTCACGGTGAGAGGCCTTCTTGATCCTTTGAATGTTTTTTCTCTTTCTTTTTGACTGATAACTTTAACAGATCTAAAATGCAGCTTCACTGTGGGAAGGGTGGGGGTGGCTTCTTTTCTTGCAGGGATATGGTGCTAGTCAGGGAAGTATTCCTGAAAGGAAAAAGAGCAAGTGGAGCTTTAAGGAGCTGGAATTAAAGTGTTTCAGGCCAAAAGGGGGAAGCCAGGCTCGCTGCAGGTGCCCACCCTCAACCAAAACTGTATGGTGCCTTACTTTTGCTGGAGGGCTCAGGCAACCATTTCTTCTTCCTTCTGAAACACAAGTACATGGAGTAGCTCTTAGATAAAAGATTATTTTAACCAGCAATTACTAAAACCAGCAGTAAGTGCAGACAACTGGGAAAATGTCTGTCCTTTCCTTCCCTGTAATAGGTGTAAAAACTTTCTGGTTTGGAAGGGAAGGCTGCAAGGTTTTATGATGTTCCTGAAATGTTACTCAGGAATCTTGAAGATTTTAGGCCCTTTTCCCACCATCTTCGTTTAAATCCCAGTTGAGCTTTTTATCACAGGCTGAAAAAGCCCCTCTGAATTTCTTGAGCTGACAGCATTAATAAAATCAGGAGCTAACTAAGAACAAATTGCACTGTTTTTTTGATGGCTGCAGCATCATTTACTGGTCTGAAATACCACCAGAGTTCTGCTCTCTGAGTGTGCTCACAGGCAGGATGTTTTCTGAGGTGGTTTAACAAACAGAACCAAAGCCAAGGACTGAAGAGGTTTGTGTGTTCAGGTTACAGAACTGCCAGTGTCATCATTGCATTGACAGATGGAGAGCTCCACGAAGATCTATTTTTCTACTCTGAGAGGGAGGTAAGTGACTTACACATTTGTACTCAGGGAGACAGTAAAATGTCTGGGCTTGCTGCTGTGAATGCAGAAGATAAGGAAAACCTTTTTCCCCAGTGAGAAAACTCCACTTTGGTGCTCTGCAGACATGGATCTAAAGAACAGCCCCTGACAGCAGCAACTTCTGACTCACCACAGCCGAGACTGTTCAGGGGAAAGGACAGGGAGGAATTAAAACTTCCCGTTAAAAATAAACACTAGAAGAAGGAATTGTTCAAAGCTGAAAATTTTCAGTATTTACTGGATTGCTCTGGGAAATGCTGAATATTCTCGCTTTCACTTTTTTTCCTCTCACAAGAAGTCACGACTCCAGAAAGAGGATGGCTTCTGTCACATCAGAAAATCTTTCAGATTTCCACAAATATCTCTGAGATTCAAGCACATAAGCTCAACATCCTCATTAAATTAGTGAACTGTGCAAAATGTTAAACAGTGGGGTGGGCATTGAGAGCTTTGCTGTAAAATGTTCCTGCAGCTCTCTTTTGGACATCCTCCCTGGAGAGATGAGCAATTGGCACTTGTCAGTCAAACCAGGGTGATCTAAGCTTGGAAGAGGGTATTTCTGCATGAATTTGCTATGGACAGAATTTTTCCTCTTAGTCTGTCCAAAATGCAGTATTAAATCCAATAACAACAAAAAGAATGGGTTTGTAGAGTGAAACCAATATTGCTCTAGCAAACGTCCTGAATCTACAGCTCTGCTCCTTACAGTTCATCTCTTTTTATTTCCCTTCTGAAATAAAAAATCCACAAGAAAAACAAGTTTGTTTTTAGAGGTGAATGAACAAGTTGAAAGGTCAGAAGTGCTATATTTGTTTTGGTTTGGGGACGAACAGCTATGGGCTGGTGGAAGGAGATCCTGAACTCGGCACTTAGTCTGTGAGTTACTCCAGTTGTTTGGGTTGAAGCTTCCCAGAATAAAACTGCAATGATGCTTGTCTGCTAAAAAAGCTTTTTGCTGGTGAACAACTTGCATTGCTGCAGTCTTCCCATACAATCTAGCAATTTAATCTCTTCTGGGAAGGAGCTTTCAGTCAGGGCAGGTGTCCTTGTTCTGCTGAAACACCATTAAATTACTGCATCCATACTTAGGCATTTGTAGCAATAAATGCAACTTCAGTGAAGTAGCCTGGGAAAATTAAACCTGTGGCTGCCGTCCCTTCAGTTCAGGATGCTGTGTAAGCCCTGGGAGTGATGCAGTTCTAGGGCAGATGGAATGGAGCCTCTCTCACCTCTGGGTATCACGAGGCCACATCTGAAACAGAACACACAAAAGCATTTGAGGTTACTGTTATACTGGGATGTGCCCTAAATGATGGAAAGAAAATTGATTTAGCCTGACATCTTTTGGGAAGCTGGAGGAGCTGGAAAGGTGAACTAATTAGGTTTTAAAAATCCACCAAATACCCTTGCAGTTGCTTTACTAAACAATAGCAACTCTAGCAGCAGATAAAACCTGATTTTACAGAATCAGAGAGGAAAACTTTTCAAGTCCTCTTCTGCTAAGCTCCCCCTTTGCTCATTCTACAGAAAAATAGTGAATTTATGGTTAAGAGCTTTGAGGAAGCTGCATCCCAGCCCATTGGTAACTATGTGGTGCCTCCTCTCCTCTCCTCTGCAGGCGAATCGCTCTCGGGACCTGGGAGCCACCGTGTATTGTGTGGGTGTGAAAGACTTCAACGAGACCCAGGTGAGGGAGCCCCGTAGTCCCTGAGTGCCTGGCAGAGCCTGGACAGGGCTCACAGCCCTGGGTGCCCTGCTCAAGGCTTCTCCAGGGGGTTTTCCCCCCTTCTGTTGCCTGTCTGAACTGACCACCTGATGTGGCTGGGTCTGGCTTTTGGTCTCCTCTGAGCCTGCCCCTCTGCCTGCCCCAGCTACTCTTGCTAATGCTGGGGAAAAGCAAGGGAAAGGCACAGGGAGAGCAGTGAATTCTCTGGCCTGAGCTGAAGGCAGGAAGAAGTTGTGGAGATGGTTTTCCCCATAAAACTGAAGCATTGCCATATAACCTTTCAGCTTCAGTACAGCTTTCCTTTCAGAAGAAAACTGTGCTGTAAAAAGCAAACAGCTTCATTAGTGATGAATATTTCACAGTGTTCTGACTTCTAAATTTCTCATTTGAATATTAGTATGTCTTTGAATTGTACTTCACACATAACAGTTGACATTTTTCTAGCATGAGTCAAGCACGTGCACAGCCCCACTGCACACAAGTAGAGGCTGAAAGACTTTTTCCAGGTATTTCAGCTTTCAGAAAAGGAGTCAAACCACATTTGGTTTAGAACAATCTCCTTGAATCAGCCCCAGAGACTGGGATAACCCAGAGTAAGCCACAGAAAAAGCAAAGAGGGAATAAAAATGGCACAGAGACCAGACCTAAAGCAGCAGACCTCAGACAGCTACTACTTGAAGGCACTTAGATGGTGAAAAAATTACCTGGAGTTAGATGGCTGTGTCTGAAGGATGATTGAGGGGAATGAACTGAGCTGTAAACATCCAGCTTTTTTCAGCAGCCTCTGCAGCTCAGCCAGCAGCAATGAGCAGCAGAGCAAAGCTGCCTGAGGATGGCTTTGGATGCAGAGCTGGGGATTCTGAGTGACAGGAGCTGGCCAGGGACAGCCCGTGGGGTTTTGGGAGGAATGTGTGGCTGCTCTGCTGCCTCCAGAAAGCTCCAGAGAGGCTGCTGGTACCTCTGCCAGGGGAGGTTTACTGGAACAAGCCTTGGCTTTGCAGCACTCACATTGAGCCTGCTCCAGCAGATGCATGGAGAGCTCATTACTGCTGAGCTGGGCTTAGAGCTCTGCCTTAACCCTTGGTGTGCTCTTGGCAGCTGAACCTGCAGGCAGCTCTCTGCAGGTGATGTCCTGGCTCCCCTGAACTTACCTCCACCTGAGGAAGGCCCTTCCTCCTCATCACAGATGTTTCTGAATGCTCCTCTGAGATCTTTCAACCTCCACTCAGAAAATATCTCCTGGTATCTCCCTGTTTGGCTCTCTGATGGTTGAACACAAATCTCTGTCCTGGCAGGAAAGGTGAATCAGGCCTGTATCTCCACATGGGATATAATTTCAAAGAATTGTGGAGGAGTTAAGGTTGGAAAAGACCTCCATGATTAAAGGTTGAACCTTTTTTGGGTTCTACCTTTGCCCTAGAGATCATTAGGCCCTGGGCACCAGTGAAAGCCACATTCTGTCTTGTCTCTAAGTCTTTACTGAGCCTTGATACAGAGCTTTATAAAGTCAATCAGGCTAACAAGATAAACACATTACTGCTTAATAAGCCACAATACAGTGGCAATCCAGAGAGAGTAGCTGAGTATTTGAGGGTTTTATTTGCAAGCGAGTTAATTGGGAGAAGTCTTAATTTGCTGCCTGCTGGCTAATTGATCTCATTCTTTGCATTTCTGTTTCATTTCCTCTCCCTGCTGTGTCAGCTGGCCCGGATTGCTGACAGCAAAGACCACGTCTTCCCAGTAAATGATGGGTTTGAAGCCCTGCAGGGGATCATAGACTCTGTGAGTATTTTCACCCCAGTGTTTACACTCCTGCACATTGGTGTCACCCTGCACTGATGGAGGTTTGGTTCTCTGTTTCAGACAGACAGAGATATTATAAAAGAAAGGTCTTAAAAATCTGGTTTAGGCCCTGCTAGTCTAGCTAAGCTAGCAGCAGTTTGTAAGCTCCCATAAGAAAGAATAAGAGGAATGAAAAGTCAGTTAACACAACTGCCTCTTCTAGTAAGGAAAATAAGTCTGCACCTGCGTAAACAATAGATCTGTCCTATGAAAGTCCACAAAGGAAAAATGTAAACACCTGAGTCTTAGCAGGTACACACAAAAATAGCTTTTAACCAATGAGTTAAGTGGCAAGAATACTGGTAGCTAATGAATTGCACACGACGTCTGTGAAAAGTGTATAAAATTAATTATGTGAATAAATAATTGGCTTTTTCTTGCATGAAGAAATGGAGTCCCAGATAGTCTGTGGCAACAGTTCTGTGTTCACAAGAACCTGCTGAACAAAAATCCACTGAATCATTTAGTCCAAGGGAACCAACCTTGGTTTGTGCTAGAATGCTACTTCAAGGTTGAGTTTATCAATAGGTTATGCCTAGGTTTCCCTATTCCCAGTTCCTGGATTTCCTGCAGGGGTTGGGTGCAGCACATGAGTGCCTGGGCTGACTGGAGTGCTTCCCCTGGCTCCAAGGTTTGGGAAATCCCCAGTCCCATTCCGTGTGTTCTGGTTTTGGTACAGGCTGCTTGGGTGATAAAACCCAGGTGAAAGCTGAGCTGGGAATGGGGCACTCACTGGGGGGCTCAGATTTCTGTTTACAGTGGTTACACACTATTGGACAATGCAATTCCAGAAAACCATTCCCTCAGCAGAGGCTCAATTCTCCCCAGTGCTCTGGCACAGACATGGAATACAATCCCTGTTTTATTGGTTTTCCTGGCACTGTCTGAGCATGGATCTACTGCCTCAGCTCTCTTGGACAATCAGGTGTTGCATGTCATTTAAGAAAGCAACAAAACAACAAAAAAAAGCAATCGTTTTCTTCCCAGCCCTGCATTCCCTTTGCAGCTGTTTTTAATGAATTCCAGCAGCAGCTCTGACTCCCCTTCCAGTTGCATTGAGCAGAATGGGAAGATTTCAGCCTCCAGGCAGCCAGTCCAGAACTGCTCCAGCTGAGTGGTGCAAGACTTCCCAGCTTGGGAAGGAGGGTCACAGGGAAGTGCAATTGCACAGTGGTGAATCTGTGACCTGAGCACTTGCACTGGAGAGGAGTCACTGCAGTAGCCTGGCAAGAAGGGAAGTGGTTTTATGTGTGAAAGGAATGACAAGGAGAACATTAATCACTCCAGAGAATAACAAACAAACTGTTGATTCCTGTTCTAGCTGGAAAATCAGGTTCCTTTCCCCTACTTTTCTCATCCTTGCCAAAAGCACCCCTGTGCTGGAGCAGACAGAGCATCTGTGATCACAGGGAATGTTAATGGTGAAAGGGCCCTGGGATTTGGAAACTTCTTTCAGTTCCTGTGTAAGAGTTGGCACAGCAAGGATGCTCACGTGGAGAGAGGATGGATCAGTCTGATGTCACAGGGGAAGGAGAGATCCAGTGATGAGCCTGGGGAGATGAGTGTTTGAATTAACTCTGGAGATGTGAACCCTTGGCTTTGTGGGGTCTGCAGGGATTTGGTGTGAGCTGCCCTGGCTTTCCCCTCCTGCCTTGTCCTGACTGGGTCTTTCCACACCTTCTGCATGTGCAGAACTGGTGGATTTAGAATTCCCTCTGGAATAGGGAAGAGGGTGGGAGCTGGGAGTGGTGAAGCTCAGGGCTGGCCTCAGCTGGCTCTGCTGAGCAAAGATGTTCGGATTGGTGGGGCTGGGAATGTTCCTGAGCACCTGCCCTTCCTTTTCTGTGGGAGCCAGAGGGCTTGAAGTGAGCAGCTGTAGGAGATTTGCTCCCAGCATTCCAGGAGGGATTGTCTTCTCCAAGCCCTGGAAACTGAGAGGAAAATCCAATCCCACACCGAGGTCATGCCTAAAAACACGATTCTTTAAGTGGGTGTTCAGTGCACCATGGGGTATGGTCCTTTCTCTCCCATGAGTTCAAATGTAGCTTTTTATTAAGCAAACCAATTTCTTTTTCTTCCTCATCGTGCAAAAGCCACTGCTAAAACTCCAGCCTCCCCCTGTTAATGATTGAGTGGTTTGAGTTTGTCAGGAGGGAGCAATCTGGAGCAGAAGCAGATCTGACTGATTGCTTTAGGCTGGGAAACAAATGGAAGGAACTGAATTATTTTATTAAATTTTCCTTTGCTACGAAAAACTTCTGCAGATCATAACCCATAAATTTAAAGCAAACGAAGCAAGTCTTAGAAGAAAACCTAAAATTTAACTTCATCTCCTGTCCAGTATGGCTTTGGTAGGAGTGCTGGAGGCAAGGAGCATGAAGCAATGTGAAAGTCAGGATGGGATCCTGTCATCACCTTGCTATGAGCCTGTAACAGGAGCTGCCTGAGGAGCAGCTCTTGGAACAGGAAAACTCCTGATCCTTGCCATGTGTTAAACCATGGCACCAGCTTGGAGCTTATCTCAGAGCTGTAACCCTTAGCAAGGAGCCCGAGAGCTGCAGGGTGCAGTTGTGGTGGGTGAGAAATGAAGCACCATGAAGTAGTCTGTGGGATTGTCTCATGTCTGTATGAATTGCACCAATGGTCCATCCTTTCAAGTTTAATTTCTGTGTGCTCCTTCTGGATCCTCTTGCAGTGGTGCTCAGCTGCTCTCAGTGTTTTCCAGGTCCTGCCTCAGCTCTTAGGATGTGGCAGTTCAAGGTGCTCCTTCACCCAGGAAGTTTGAGCTTGGGAATACTCTGGATTCCTCTGTTACACAAATGTTTCCTGGGGCAAACTGCAGTGCTGGATGTGTGCAGTGTGGGGACTTTGAAGAAAACTCCATGTGAGCATGAGTGAGGCACTGTGAGGAATGTGGTGATGGTTTTGTGTGCCCATCCTGAGCTGTCTGTCCAGACTCCAGTGGCTGATTCCCTGGAGCAGGGAGAGGGGCAAGAGCCCCTGAGTGGGGATAAGGATGAGAGAAGGTTAATTCCAGGCATGTCCTGCTAGTGCAAATTCCATAATGGACACAGAACATGTTTATCAGCTGATAACCCCCAGCCTCAGCTGCACAGTGTTCCTTGTTAATTTTAATGGTGTATGATCAGCTTTCCACTTCTTTCTTCCCCCAAATGCATCTTTAAGAAGGACTTAAATATTTGTTGTTTTATTTTTACTTAGCTCGTGTAGATATTATTGGGCAGGAAACACTTCATAAATAAATGGCTGGTTTGTAATTGGCAACAGACTTTGGCATTGAACAGAGCTTGCTAATGAGCACCTGGCATCAGACTGCAGGTCATTCCACTGACACTAATTAGGCAGTAACCTTCTATTACACTTCAGCATCCTGTTTGCTAATTAGAATGCCCAAATTTGGTGGAAAGAACATTTAAGGAATATGCAGCTGCTGTGGTGAAGTGATCTGGCTGTGTGCTCATTGCGAGCAGAATATCGATTGAGAGCTTCCCAGCGGCTGCAGAATTTCACTCCCCTTCTTCCCTTGGTTTCCAAAAGGGCCCAGTGACCTCCCAGGCCCTCAGAAAATGACAGATCCCATGAAATATTCTACAATGAAGACACTGAAACCTTTTTGAATGTACTTTTAATGAGGAAGAAACATAAAGGAATTTTTTTTGCAATAGTTCTGCCTTTTGCAATAATTCTGCCTGATGTTCACTTTAAGTAAGGGTGTGTGCTCAGAGCATTGGAAACTTAATCTAAAACAAAATAAATATTGCAATTGGCATCATAAAAGTGTTCAAGGCCAGTTTTTTATAGTCATGTAAAGGGATTAGACTGGACTGGGACATCTGCATCATCTAATTGAGACACCTGCTATTCTCTCTCCGAGCTGCCCTACAGCAGCAGTGTTTGCAAATAGCTGAGTAGAAGTCATTAATCTCCAATTTTATCATGTGGGGTTTTACTGCATTAAAAAAAAGTAGTGATTGTATTTTACATTCTCTGTGTTTTTCTTTATTCTGTCTATTTAAAATTCTATGGCTTCTCAGTTCTATTCTCAACTGTTGACTTTATCTTTTTTTCCACTTGACAGTTCCTGTAAAACCTTGCTCCTGCAAATCTTCTCTCTCCTCACCTGTCAGGCTGCCACCAGCTCAGACCATCCTGCCTCCTCCAGTCTCTTGGTACTTTCAGCCCTGCTTTCTGAGTAACTCAAACTTCTGTTTAAATGTTTAAAAAATCAAAGCCTGGCTCCATGAGTAGCTTTTGCAATTAGGTCTTTGAGGCAGAGAGCTGTGACTGTGGAGAAAAAAGTTATCTTTTCCTTACACAATTTATTATATTGGTTGTTGTTCTTTCCTTACAGATGTTTCAATTTAAAGTTGGGAAAATAGTTTTCATGTTGGGTTTGAGTCACCAAATGATGCTTGGCTGACATTTGCTTGCCTCTTGGAGCTGAGCTGGGTTTTGCTCAGTGTTGTCTCGTGCAGGGGCTGGGGCTGAGCCCCTCAAGCTCTGTGCCAGGGTGGCAGGCACTGGCACTGTGCAGGGGGAGCTGGGGCTGGAAGAGCAGGGCAGAGGCTGCAGCCTGCAGGGAACAGCCTGAGGAACTCTAACCAAGAGGGAATAAATAAAAAGTGTCCAGCTCCAGGCTGCTCCTCTGCCTTGAGTGTTGGCCGAGCCTGTTTGTGTAAATCACTGCAGTGAAGTGCTCAGAGCCAGGGACAGCCCTCCCAGGGACACTCTGCCTCAGTTAAGCCTGGCTTAAGTGGAGAAGAATTGTCTGTGCGTTTGGTCTGAAGCCAGAGGCTGCCAGAGCAGCCTTGGGGATGTCCTCAGGTGAGCTGGCATAAATCAGGTGAAAAACAGAAGTCACTGCCCCTCGGGTGAAACTTGAGAAGTGGCTCTGTCAGGATTTCTGAGATGTTTTTGTGCAAAGCTAAACAGTTTAGCTTAAACTTGTGATGTTTGATTTGGAGTTTTGAGTCTGGAGTAGCTTTGGAGAGGGAGGTGTGGCTGCAAAGAGAGGACAGCGATGGTGCCTCCACAGCCCTTTGGGGCTGCAGAACATGAATAATTTCAGATCATGGGGTGCAGAATGCTGGGCACGAAGCCAGGATTGCCCTGGGACAGGGGGGAGCATCCTCTGGCACCCCTCACCCTGGCACCCTCACCAGCAGCAGTGACACCTCCCGGGGATTCAGAGTGGGAAGTCGAGCTGAATGAGTTCAATGTTTGTGTGAAAACCGTGCTCACTCACCTTTCACAGCTCTGTTTCCAGGGAAACAAGGCTGGAGAACTTGACGACTTTTTGTCTCTTTTAGATTTTGAAGAAGTCCTGTATAGAAATCCTGGCAGCGGAGCCTTCCAGTATCTGTGCAGGGGGTAAGTATGAGCGAGGCCACGCTTCTCCATGGTGCCTAAAATACAATTTTCAGTTCATCTCTAATTGCTGGAGAGTGCAAGATTCACTAATTACCGGGAGCTAAATATTTCCCCTTTTTTGGGGGAGAATTTCTTTCTCACCTCAGAGTAGTTTGCATATGTCCCACTTCTGCCAAGTGATGTCAAATGGGATTTTCTTACAGAAAAAGCCTGAATTCAAAAGTTTTGCATAAATGTTCTTCTGTCAAACCAGTCTGTCTTACAGCTGTGCTGAAGTAGATGCGCTGCACTTGAAAAGATATTTGCATACTTATGCAAGTGATAAACAACGATGCTTATAGAACCAGAAGATGGATTATAATCCTCATTTATAACCATCTTTAACACTTTCTAAGTGCTTTGATCTTGTCACTGCTATTCATTGTGCCTTGATGGGAGGACAGGGGTGGAACAGCTGTGCCCAGCAGAGCAGCTGAGAGGAAATGCAGATGGGTTTATAAAAACTGTTTGCATCAGAATCTGGCCAGGACTTCACAAGAGGAACAATCCTTCTAAAATGCCATCAGTTATTTGGATCCTCAGTTCAGGGCCTCCTCTCCAAGTTTGGGCAAACAGTCCCTGCAGGTAAATTTAATCACTTAGGGCTTTGGGACTGATGAAAGTGCCACTGACTGCACAAATGATGGCATTAGTGTCCTTGAAATCCATATTTGCAGGTGTGGCTGTGACACCTCGAGTTTTCATGTTGCTGTGCACATCCTGAAGGATGATGGCAGTTTTTTCCTTTTTTTTTGTTTTTTTTTGTTTTTTTTTTTGTTTGGGGGGTTTGTTGGGTTGGTTTTTTTCTTGTTGTTTTGGGGTATTTTTGTTTGTTTGTTTGTTTGTTTGCAAGGAGCAAACCTGAGGGCTCTGTGGTACCTGAGGCCACTCCTCACTTGCACTGCTCACTTACCCAAGGCACTGCAGGGATAACTTTCAGCAGTGACATCGTTCTGGAAGGGCAGTTTTTGGATTATTTGTCCATGCAGGGGGCACTGAGCTGTTCATTCCAGCCCTAGGCACAGCCAGGTCCCCATGGTCCTGCTGATATCTCTGATTTCTGTTCTTTGACATGAACCCTCATCCCCCAGAGCTTGAGAGTTCTGTGATTTCCCCTGAACATTCAGCAGAACAGAGCCCTTGTGCTCTCCCCAAAAGCTGTCCCCTAGCACACCACGGGCCTGGAGCAGCGTCCCTGGATGTGCTGGGATGATTTGCAGACCTGGAAGGGAGCCCAGATTCCAGAGCAAATCTGATTTTCTTGACAAGTACAGTGTGCTGGTCCTCGGGGGAGATGAGAGAAGATGGGGCTGGAAAATGCAAAGGCAAAGATCTGAACCGACAAAAACGAAGTTCCTTGTTGCTCCTGGGGATTTTAAATCTGATGTACTGAGGTTGCTCCTGGTTTGTCTTGGACAATTTTGTGTTCAAATCACATTCCTCAGCCAAACTGCAGTGGGGATGAGCTGAGTGCCTCTCCCAGAGAGTCACAGGAGTTGTGGGGGCTGCTTCCTTTGCAGTTACCTGGGAAAGGAATACTTAAACTTCTCCAAATTATCTGTCACTACAAGATTTTTTGCCTTTCTTCATCCAAAACTTTTAGCCATTTAAAATGGACACTTGGAGATGGGAAAGCTCAGTGTCCTTGAAACTTCATGTTTCCACTGCAGGCCAGTTAAAGTGTGTCTGTGCTGAATTGTTTCCTGCTTCTAAAAACGCAAGTTGAAATTGGGTAGTGTTATAAATACATATTATGGTATTGGCTTTTCACAAATATTGGAATAGATACTGTATGTGTGGTGTTGAAATGGTTTTTAAGATATGGTTTTCTTTAAGAGTAAAATAAGCTAATAAAATATCTTTATAGTAAGTAAACTACCTACTTAGTTAGATAACATCCAGTGAAAACACCTGCTACTGCTACACCAGTTACCACCAACCATCTGTAGAAATTAAAGACCACAGCCCAAATTAAAACTGATTTAAAAAAAAATAAAATAAAACTACAACCAAAAAACACACGTGCTTTAAAAAAGCAAGCTGAAGAAATGGCTATGTAAAACAGTTATTAAAATATAAAAAATATAAAAAATATTAAAATATATAAATATATATATAAATATAAAAATATAAAAAATAGTTTGTAGAAAAGTTTGAAAGAGTGTAATGGATCTGTGAATATGCAACAGGCTAATAAATTTAAGGACTGTCTCCGAAACAGCAGGTGTGCTCTTAGCTGAATGCCAAACACCCAACCATTATAACCTTTTGCTTTACTGTTTGTCTCTTTTTAAACTTTTTTAATTGTACCAAAAATGTGAACCTAATTTTTCACAGGTAGGGAGAGCGTGAAAGTGACATTTTTAACAGGTTTTAAACTCAACCGTGAAACTTCCAGTTTGAGCAGTGGAGAACCGAAATGACCATTCCCTGTCTTGCTGTGCATCACTAATAACCCAGAGCCTGTTTTGGCAGAGTCCTTCCAGGTCGTGGTGAGGGGAAATGGTTTTCGCCACGCCCGCAACGTGGACCGTGTGCTCTGCAGCTTCAGGATCAACGACACTGTCACCCTCAGTAAGCTCCGGGATCCCCTCGGCTTTCCTTTCTCACCCTGCACTGGCAGGCATTTGCACCTTCAGACACGCTGGTTGTGGAAGCAGTTATGGGATGAGGAGCTTTTCATTTGCAGGATGCAGAAGGGATCATTTTTTAAGAGGCAGATTGCTGGTGGCACTGTGTGAGCAGATGAGTATGGGGGGATGAAAATACAGAAGGCAAGAACCTTAATTAGCTCTGGAAATCAGAGATCAGTGTGTTTGGAGCATCTGGGTCCCTGGTTCTTTGGAGCAGGGCGGTTTGAGGCTGCTTGCCCTGTGTGGGATCAGTGAGCCCTGGGGCTCACTGCTCTTGCAGTGGCCTCCTGCGGGAGGAAACCCTCTGGACTTGCCAATTCCTGTGTCACCAAGCTTGGCTTGGCTGGCCCTGGCTGACATTTGCTGAATTCAGATGTGGTCAGTGCTGAGGATGTGAGCAGCAGAAGCTGCAGGGCTCTGGAGCAGGGCACTCATCCCTGGAAGTATCCAAAGGGAGCTGGGAATGCCATCCCTCAGCTTCCACTGCTCAGGGCCTGTCTGGGGGGTCTCAGGGGGGAATGGTGTGTGAGGGTGCCTTCACCCCAAACACTGGGCCCTGCTGCTCAGGTGGAGGAGGAGGAGGAGGAGGAATCCTTCCTCCCCCTGTGCAGACTGCAGGTCCAGCCCAGTTATTTTTTATGGTGTTTGTCATCACAATTCCATTGCAGCTTTCAGGAAAGATCAGCTTATCCTAATGCAGCCCTTGGGCTTTTTGAATTTGAAGCTGTGTTCCTGTGCCCACCAAAGGGCTATGGAAAGTGAGGATAAGGGCCAAGCACGTGTCCTGCCCTCTGGCCCTGCGTCCATGGTCCCTGGATGCTGCAGAGCTGAGGAGTGAGCTCACTCTCCCTGGCTGGGTGCTCTGTTTGAAGCTGTGGTGTGGCAGGAAATGGCCACAAACCCAAATTCTGGGTGCAGCCCCTCCTTGAGGGAGTGAGAGGAGCTCCCAAATCCAGGTGTCTCCAGGTGGGGACTTGGCACAGCTCTGCTGGGTTTGAGCTGCCCTGGGGGAGATCCCAGCACCTGCAGCCCCTGCCTGATGCTCCCAACTCAAACTCTCCCTGAGAGAACTGAACCAGGATTTTATGGAAACCTCATGGAGGTTGGAAAGCTCAGCTGTCTGTTTGCCCTAAACCTCTCTGCCTCTGATTGTATCAGGGAGGGAGGTATTTTTAAAGATAACACTAAGCCAACAGTTCCTGAAGCCTTAAATTATCCCAGATGAGATGTAGTGAGCAAGGCTAGGACGTGCTGAGGTTAAAGGCATGAGCTAATGGGGTTTTATTGGGATTATTGGCAGGGAAGAGTGGCAGGTGAAGAGAGCATCGACTCATAATGTTCATAGTTATGGGATGAAAAAAAAAAAAGGAACATCTGTAGAAACCATGAGGAATATTTGGCTGAGCAGAGCTGTAATCAGATGCATGTTCAGCAGCAGGGTGTTCCTGCCAGCAGCAGGACCTGGGAGATTTGGGTTCAGCCTGCACAGAGTTAAAAGTGATTATCCAGTGCAGTGACTTATGACTGCTCTGTGGTGCTAAAATGTCTGAGTCTGCCCAGATTGTGCAGGAGCCAGCAAAGATAGCTCTGGGCAGAGAGGCTGAGCTCTGTCCTAAGCAATTTAAAGGTGAATGGAGAAATGAAAGGTTGGTGAAGGAGCGGGCACCACAGCAGAGCTGGGCTGGATCTGCTGCACTCCAGTGAATGCTCTGGATGCTTGGTCAAACACCATCTTTTGCACAAACTGGCCTGAGTTTGCTTTATTCAGACCCTGGGAGCAGGACAGCACAGGGGATCAGCAGAGAGAGGGATTTATGGGGGACTGGATCCCCAGACTGCCCAATGTCTCCTAAGAATTGTCTCTTGTTTTTAAAGCCAGACAGATTGCTCCATTTCCCCCATCTTTCATTTCTCCTGGCAACACAGTGCTTTTCTTGTGATATCCTCTCTGCTTTCTTGCAGCCCTGTCACTCTCAGCACAGGAATGTTTTGCTTTGCAGTTCCACTCTCTAACCCCTGATTTCCGTGCCTGATCATATCACTGTAACCCTCCACTGAATCTTTTTCCTTTCTAGCAGCAGCTTTTCCCTTTTCAAGGGAGTGCTAGAGAAGGTCCCTCTCTGTAGGAGCTCCCTGAGGTGTTCTGGGGGCTGTCACCTTGAGGAGGGACACAGTATTAGATTAATTAATCTATATCTAATAATTAGATCTAGATTAATGCCTCTAATCTTCCCGAGGTGAGAACATGCACCAAGGAGAGCTTGGCCTCTGCTTTTGAAGGGTAGCTGAAGTCATTGCTTGTCAAAGAATATGAAGAAGGAAGAAAATGGTTGTGCTTCCCCCAAGTGCTGCCCCAGCCTCCACCAAGTTGCAGGGTCAGAACTTTTATCCCTTTGCCTTTTTTTGCAGCAGAGCTCCAGGCTGAGTGAGAGATGAGCGCGGGGCAGGCAGGGGCGTTGTGATTTGTGCTGAGTGAGGAGGGTGGGAGCTCTGCCAGGCTCCCCCAGTGCTCCAGGTGCTGATGGGGACAGCTCTGGGGCTGGAGCTGTGCTGGCCCAGGGCTCCTGGAGGGACCCTGTGATGGTGCAGTTCCCCAAGCAAATCAACACTGGAGTGCTCTGCCAGCTTCTGCTGGAGCCTCCAAACTCCTTGAGCAGTTGTTTGCTCGGCACATGAACCCCTCAGAGCAAATCCCTGCATCCAGGGACTGCTGGGAATGTGATATCACTGCTCTGTGCTTATCTGCTCCCCATCCCCTGACTCTGTTCTGCAAGGCTTTGGCACCCAGAGCTCGTGTCCTGCACAGAGCAGAGCAGTTACAGCTGATCTCAATGTGGTTTTCATTACAGCATTAACAAAACATTTCTTATTTATGGCTCTTTCTCGTAGGCAGTTTCTGGCTCAGAAAGCTTTCCAGTCTCTTCCTGCATTCCCAGCTCCCACAAAATGGGTTTGAAACACAAACTTTGCTTGCAGAGTTGTCACAAGAGTGGTATGAGAGGAGGAGTCAGCCAGGGGGAACAGAGACCCAGCTTTGATAGGTGGGGCAGAGAATTAAGGAGGTTTTTTGGCTCACCTGAGGTGACAAAGGGATGACTCAAGCTGCCATTCCACGTGGGATGAGGTGCATTAGGCTGGGCTGGAGTCTCCTCTCCTGCAGGAACAGGGCAGAGCATCTCTGAGGTGAAATTCAGCTGAATGCAGATCGTGAGTACAGGGAGAGCAGATGAAAATCGTTGGTTTGTGATATTTGGGAAGTTTGGCAAACAGCTTTTGCAGTCTTTTCTGGATCAAGATCTTGCTGATCCTGCAGGACCTGCAGTCAGCACTTGGTATTGCAGTGGCATTTTGGAATGTTGGGCTTTCCTAAACCCTTCTGTGACGGATCCTTGCAGTCAGATTTCATTGCACCAGTGGGTTCTTTGGTGAATCATTCACCAAAGGGAAAGCTGTTAATTTTGGCATGGTTATATGGCTACAAGAAAGTGCTGCTGTCTCTTTAGTTACCTTCTTTGGGTTCTTGTATCTCTTTTTTTTTTTTTTTTTCTTTTTGAGGCTTGCTCTATTGTGTTAAAGCATCCTGCATATATTGAAGCTTTTATTATTATGATTAGGAAATATTCCAAGTCCTGGATTGCCAAAAGGTTACACCCTACTAATGGCATAAGAAATTATTCACTGTTGCTGGCAATAAAAGATTTTCCAGGCTACATTGAGCTGTTCAGGTGCAGGAACACTGGGTGTAGAATTGCAGGAGTCTGAGCAGTATCAGGTACCTGCTTGAAAGAGCATCCACAGAGCCCAGATGTTGTGGGAGGTTTCACCCTCCTCTGTACCTGCACACTGCTCAGGCCCCAGGACCGGCCAGTTTGGGTCATCTGGGGGGGGTTATACAGCAAGAGGGATGCACAGGTAGGAGGAGGTTGTGCCCATTGCTGTGGGTAGCCTTTCTCAGAAGAGAGCTGTTTGCTGGGGCTGTCCAAGCCCTGTCTGTGGTGTTTGGGAGGTGATCAAGGCCTGGGCATCCCTTATATAAAATGTCCAAGGAGGCAAAAATGATTCCAGCCCCATCCCCTGGGCAGCCCCGAGCCTGGAGCTGAAATGACATCCAGGGCAGTGAACCCAGCAGCTCTGCCCTCCCTTCCCAGCCCTTCCAGCACCACTGGCAGCAGTGCAGGACACAGCACCCAGCCTCTGGCAGAGGTGTGGGGAGCCCTCAGCCCATCTCTGAGTGCCCTGCATACAGAAACCTGTCCTGCAGCAGAGCAGCACCACACCACACTCCTCAGTGCCAGTGCAATGAGAGGTGCTGCTTTGTTTGCTTTCCCTGTGGAAGTTTTCCAGGCTGGAGTCAGATGGGCCAGAGTTGTGCAAACCAAGTGGATGCTCTTTTGTTTGGAGCAGAGGGAAAGAGCCGCTCATTTCTGTGGGGAAGCATAAACATTCTCCAAACAAACTCAACTGTGCCTGCAGCCAGGAGCTCCCCCAGGGCGCCCAGGGCTGGTAAACTTTCTAGAGAGGCATGGACTGATGGGAGTTGGGAGTGGGAAGGGAGAGAAAGAGAAACAAAAACCTGACAAGATCTAAGTGAAGGCCTTAAAGATGAAGCAGCTTTTGTTTTAGTGAATGCTGGCACGGAGAAGCCTTTGGCTTCGGCTGCCAGAGTTAGCAAAGGAGAAAAGGAGACACTGATCTTCATTTTCTTGGCATGTGTGTGCTGAGACAATGTCATAAATTTGTGGGAGTCAGTGATATCGTCATAAATGGGGGTGAGAATAGCACTGTGGGACCAGATGTGCTGCCACATCACATGCAGGCAGCTGGAAAATGGGCTGGGCAGTTCCCCAGGATCCCCCTTTTTCTGCTCACCAGCACAAAGCTCTGACTCAAGTCCACAGAAGAGGAATGTCAGTCAGTGCTCCTGCTTCTCAAGCCTGTTGGTAGTTTCTCTCACTCACTTTTAAAACCAGAGTAATTCAGGCTGGAAGGCTTAACTGAGGTTCAGATGTTTCTGCCTTAAACTGCAGAATTTTCCTTAATCTACAACTTTCTTTATTTTAATATCTCTGTTGCAACTGTCCCTGTGCCCCTGCACAGAGTGATCCTGTGCTCTGACCTTCCAAAGAGCTCCACACCTTCAGCTCTGCTGTGGCTCAAACATGTGAGGCAGCTCTTCACCCCCATCTTATTTTAAATAAAACCATTATTTAAACTTGCTCTTTAAGGCCTGTGTGGCTGATTTGACAGTAAATCCTATTTTCCCTTTGCAGATGAGAAGCCTTTCGTGGTGGAGGACACCTACCTGCTGTGCCCAGCCCCTGTGCTGAGGGAAGTTGGCATGTATGTTTTTCCTGCCCCAATATTCCCTCTGCCTGTGGGGAGATGGGGCTGGATCTCCTCCCTGTGTTCTGCTGTTCTGTTTGGATCCCAAGCTGCCATTCTCTCGTGTTCAGTTGTGCTCTGGAGCCCGGATCTGCAATAAAAGGTGGTGCCATGAGCATGGATGGAAATGGGGGCTGCAGCTCGCCCCAAAAACAGAGTTCCCAGCAGGAAAACGTGGAATCACAGCCCCCACAGTGGGAAGGGCTTGGATTTGGGATTTGCCAGAACACAGATCTGGGGATATTGTGATGCAGCTGCAATAAAAGGTGGTGCTGTGAGCATGGATGGAAATGAGGGCTGGTAAAATTACCAGCCCCAAGGACACAATTCCCAGCAGGAAAACGTAGGAGGAAAAGATGGAATCTTTTGTTGTGGAGCTGCATCAGAATATAAATGGCAAAGCTTTCCAGGCCATGGAGCTGCTGGCTTTGCTCCTTCTCCCACTGAACAGCCATTCCTGGGGAGCAAAGGGGGTTGGGGTTGAGGGCATGGGCACCAAGGTGAGTGTGGCACTGATGCCATCAGGGGCCAGGGGCAGAGGGGCCAGGGCACCACCAGTGGGAATTATCTGTACAAGAGGCTTTGCTGAGCACCAGCAGCCGATGGCACAGCATGGTATCAGAGAGAGCTGCCCTGACTTGTTTCTTGTTTTTTCCCAGGGAAGCAGCTCTTCAAGTCAGTATGAACGATGGTCTGAGCTTCATCTCCAGTTCTGTCATCATCTCCAGCACACACTGTGTAAGTTTGGATTGCTGAAATGCTTCTGTGGGATGCTGGGATTTAGCACCAGATGTGTGTTCCAGCAGCAGCAGGGCTGTCAGGTTGGGTCTGCCTGGAGTGAAGGACATGTTCCCCCCTTGAGTGTGAGTTTGAACTTGTGGCAATGTGACATTTCAGGTGTCGTGTGCCATAATGTGGCCAAGCCGTCCAGGGAATGCCTCAGGCTCCAGGTCTGTGCTGGCACAGGAACCAGGGCTGGGCTGGCAGTGCCCTGGAGGTGTCTGTGTCTGCCTGGCCGCTGCCCAGGGAACAAGGAGCAGCCCTGCTGCCTTCCTTCCCTGGGCTGATCCCTCTGCTGCCATTCCAGCAGCTGTAATCAGCCCCTCTGCAAGGAAACCAGAAATGTGCTGGGTTACCCCCAAAGTGGGGGTTGTCAGTGAGGAATTGCTGCACTCAGGCCCTGCTGGGACCAGGATGATGAAATTCGTAATTCCCAGTAATGCTGAAGATGCTGCTCCTGCTGAGTGCTGGCTGTTGGGAACAGGACATGAAATGAGTTGTGCTCGGGGGGGCAGTGAAGGAATGCCTTTGGAATTCCCAGCAGTCATTCATATACTTCAATGTATTCATCTTTATTCATCTGTGGGCAGACCTAACATTGTCCAGGCCATGGGTGAGGTACTGTTTTAATTTTCTTGTGAACTGGTTTAAAGTAATTCTTGGGAAGCCAGAGCAGTGATGCCAGAAAGACTTAAAAATGTGTCCCCAGCCTGCTTTTGTCCCTGAGCAGCAAAGGCCACTGGGTCTCTGTGTAGAAAAGGGAGAGGCCAAGCACAGCATCAGCTACCAGAAGGGTTCTGTGGCTGAGGCACCAGCTGAGAAAAGGCTTTTGTGTCACCCAACTTGATCCTTGCTCAACAAGGACAAGATTGTATGGAGAGAATTTTCAGAGCTTACATGAGAGGTTATATTCCAAAACTGACAAAGATTTCCTTGTGCCTTAAAAGAAGGGAATTTATTTTATTCATCAAGTTTTAGTTTCCAGTTCATTGATCACTGGCAAAAATGTATTTGCCTGTTGTCAGCACATAGGGGTTTGCTGTGTTTTACTCACATGAGGCAGGACCTGAGAAACAATTCTTACAGAAAAATTATTCCTTTCTCATATGCTTTTTTCCACGGTTAGAATTATTATTTGTAGGTTCTAGAAGATTAAATACCTGTTTATATTAAATACCTGTTTATCTTCTGTTATTTAACAGCTGTAAGGAAACTTTTGGAAATGCCTGTGCTTCAGGGCACTGCCAGTTACTCCAGACTGGGAGCCTGGATCTGCAGTGCAGCTGAGCAGCCACAGCTCCAGTCCACCATCTGAAGCTGGATGCAGAGACATGCAGTGGCTGCTTTGCAAATTGTAGCTCAGGCTTCAGTAATCGAGGACGTTCCTCCTAGGCAAATGCACATTTTGTTTTTATAGCAGAGTTTTATGTTTTTAAATGTTTTTAAATCCTTTTTAAATATAAAACTGAGACTGATAATAATACTGATAATTACTGAGATTGCAATGCTGTCTTTAATTAAGGTTACAAGGGCTCCAATCCTGGAAATACCCCTATACAAAATGAGCACCAAATTGTTTAACTGACTTCAGACCTGGAATTGGGTCTGTTGGACCATCTGCAGCTCAGGTGGGAGCGTGAGAGCTGGGAAATGAAGTGATGGCAACACACAGGGAAAAGCCAGATATGATCTCCCCTTTGTGCCCAGAAGCCACCAGTGTTGTGGTGTGTCTGGAATGGTCAGGTTTGGGAGCAGGTCTGGAATGGCCTCTCCAAAAGCTGCCCTGATGGCAGCAGTGCCACACTCACCTTGGTGCCCATGCCCTCAACCCCAACCCCCTTTGCTCCCCAGGAATGGCTGTTCAGTGGGAAAAGGAGCAAAGCCAGCAACTCCTTAAAGGCTGAAAGGCTTTGCCATTTATATTCTGATGCAGCTCCACAATAAACCCTTCCTCTGCCACCTCTAAGTGATCTCACAAATCCCATTTTCCCTGTAAGCAAAAGCTGTCATTTTCTATCAACTCTCCATTTTCAGAGACTCTCTGGAGTTAATCCAGAGAAGCAAAAATTCCATTAAGACCATAGCTGAAGCAGACAGCTGCTTTCCTGACAAGCAAAGACCAAAAATGAAGAGTCAGGAAAGTCGTCTGGACTTTGACTCCCTGCTGGAAGAATTAGCAAGTGGTGGCTGGTGGAGCTGGGGAGTTCTTGGAATGGGATTTACTCCTGGAGCTGTATTAGGAATTTGAAGAACTGGAAGAGAGGAAAGTGTTAAATGCTGTGTTGTGGATGTGCAGGTGTGCCCAGGCACTGCACACCAAGCAGTGCAGGAGAGGGAATGTGCAAGAGAGGAAAAAATTGCCAAGGCTGTGTTTGGAGCCAGGAAGGCAGGGCCAAGTTCTGCTGTGCAGAAAGAGCATCTCGGAGAGAAGCCAGGATAGGAATTGAAATGAGTCTTTGTTCGTTTTCTAAAATGCTCCCAGAAGAGGAAAAACCACTCATGACCTCTTGCACTGGTGGCTCTCAGACCCAAGACTGCAGGGACAGCAAAACCCAGCCCTTGGCTGGGAGAGCAGGGACTGTCACCAGATCAATAAATGGCTTGGGGAAGTGGGCGCAGCCCCCACATTTTGGGTAGAAACAGCCTCTCTGGATTGACAATTCCTGAGAATGAGAGATGTAGGAGCCATCAGAGTCAGCTAAAGCTTTGGTATTTTCACCTGGAGAGGTTTTGCAGCTGCCAGAAGGAGGTCGGGACTGGCACAGCCTCACTACAGCCAGGTATCCCAGCTTTCTTCCTGTGGCACTTTGAAAGAATGAAGGTATTTGCACCTTTGTGTTAATCAATTGTGGATGGATTTGGCCTTTAAATGTGGAGAAAGTCAGAAAAACAAGCAAGGACTGCAGCCTGGTAGTAAAAACCAATGACCTTTCACTGAAGGCTTGGTTTTGTTGGGTTTGTTGTTTTTTGTTTTTAATTCAAAAGAAGTGTAATTCAGTGTTAATGTAATGTAATTCAGAGTGGGGTTTTCTCAATTGTGGCTTTGTTCTGGGCTGCACAGTTCGGGGTGTGCCAGTGATCAGTGCCCCTAAAGGCACTCCCTAGGGTGTCAGTAGAGGCTTTTTGAGGCTGCAGAGTGCATTTAATGAGAATTTCCTGGGCCCTTGACCTGGGCGTTTGTTATTACCTGAGGTCTTGCTCGGTGGGACCTCCAGGGCACGAGATTTCAGGTTTGCTTCTACAAGAAATTTCTCTTAAATGCTGCAAGTATAACAGGCAGGGAGTGGTTTTGCTCCACGAGTCACCTCAAGAGTTAAACGTGCAGAGATTATTTCACTCTGATATTGCTGCATGGGCTGGTTTGTAATACCCTGAAGCGTGGTTGTCATATTGCAAAACCATGTTCCTATGGGTTGGGAAACAGGGAGTCACAGAAGAGACCAATAAACTGGAGGTGAGGGCAGGACAGGATGGAAGTTCTGAAAAGCTTTAATTTGAGAACCTAGCAATAGTTTGTGGCTGTGCCCCTGTGACAGTGCTGAGGTTAAACAGGAAATGCATCTCTGCACACATGGGCGCCCCACTTAGTAATGAGATTGAAACAGGGCACTCTGAAACAAAACGTTTTCGTTTATTGAAATGTTTTTCTGTTGAAAATGTGATTTCAATTTAAACTCAGTTTCGGAAGGAAACTTATCCCAGAGCTGCTGCTGTGTGTGTCCAGGTCATGCTGGCAGGTTCTTACCCCATCAGAGCCTGTGATGAGCCTCTCCTGCTCAGCTCAGGGGGCTGGAGGAAAAGTTCAGTGTTTTATAAAGATAACCACAGTGAGTTCCATAAGGATAAACAGCAATCAGGGGTTAGAGAATTTCCTTTCCCCAACCAAAGATTTTCCCCTGTACCAGGGTGCAGTGATCACTCCTCCTTCCCACCAGGTGTTTGTCCTGTTTGGAGTGTGAACTCCCCAGGACAGAGATTGTCCCTTGCTCTGGATTTACCTGTCCCTTGCTCTGGGATTGTCCTTTGCTTTGGGACTGTCCCTTGCTCTGGCTTTGTCCAGCTTGTGGGGAAGGGAGGCTGTGCTGCTGCTTGCACTGGGTTGTAAAGCAAATAACGAGATGCTGGAAAAGTGTTTGCTGCTCTCCTCTCAACTCTGGAAGGAGAGGAGGGAAACAAATCATTGCCAGAGGGGAATTTTCATGTCCCAGCACAGAAAAGAGGGGGAAAGGAACTGAGATCAGCTTTGCTGGGTGACCTCAAGCAGGTGCTTCGTTCTCACATCCCCTGCTGAGCTTGGCTCCTGCTCAAGCAGCTCCACACAGACACGGACCAGAGGCTGACCCTGCAGAGCAGTGAGTTTTCATTTCCTTTTGGAAATTAGGCCACATTGTTTCTGTTATATTAAAAAATTCCTGTGTGTGATAAATGATGGGCAGCAGTTTCTGTTGCTGTGTGCACAGTAAAGTGAGAAACTAGGAAATAAAATCTTAAACAAAAATAAGATTATAGAAAACAAAACAAAATAAACTCAAACACAACAAAAAATGCCAGTCTGCTGTGTAGCAGCATCTTTTGGAAAGCCCTCAGGAATAAGCTATAGTTCCATTGAAATTCCAGTGAACTGATTCCTGTTTTCCTATGAACAGATTTATTTTTGTTTCTGCGTTAGAAGCATTGAGGATGTGTAGGATGAAAGAGGGGCTTGGTACCACAGATCCTGACTTAGCTTTGTCTTGCCCCATGATTGCACCCATGTTTCCAGGGCAGGATTTGGGAGCCTGGTCTTGGGCAGAGATGTCAGCAGGGAACAGCAAAGGAATGTTGAGCATGAGGCATTTCCTCATAGCACACCATGCCTGGAGGGGCCATCCCTCCTCCCTGAGCATGAAATGTGCACCTGGCTCATTGTTCACACCAAGCTCTGGGCTGGGATCTTCCCTTCTGGGACATCTCCCAGGGTTTGTGGGTCAGTGGTCAGCAGGAAACACCCCAGGGACGTTTCTGGAGCAGACTTTGTCATTCCTTCCCTCCTCTCTGGAGAAGAACCTGCTCTCCAGGAGCTGGGCTGTGCTGGTGTCCCCCAGTGCCAGCCTGGCTTCTCACATCCTTGACAGCTCCACAGCTGAGAGGAGGCTGGATGGGCTTTGGGATAGCAGAAGGTGTCCCTGACCATGGGAAGGGAGCAGGATA